TTATTTATTTATTTGAGAGAAAGAGTGAGAGAGAGAGCACCAGAGGGAAGAGGGTCAGAGGGAGAAGCAGACTCCCCGCCGAGCAGGGAGCCCGATGTGGGACTCGATCCCGGGACTCCAGGATCATGACCTGAGCTGAAGGCAGTCGTTTAACCAACTGAGCCACCCAGGCACCCAAGAGTATTTTATTGTTTTTGTTCATACATGCCAAGTTTCAACTTTCAATAATAAAATTCAATAAATTTGATTCCTCAATCATAAAAACTTGCTTTACACATTATTTACATGTTGCCAAAGTCTACAGCCACACAAAACATCACAAGGATTTGACTCTATGCATGGTACCATCACACAGAAGGGAGCTGATCAAACAACATACATTCAAAGATTAAATTGAAGATAGGCACAGTGTATTTGGTACTGTTCATTAACATTATAACACCTTCCTCTGAGAAACAGGTATTCCTTTTTTTTTTTTTTTTGAGAGAGAGAGAGAGACTGGGGGTGGAGGGGCAGAGAGAGAGAGAGAGAGAGAGAATCATAAGCAGGCTCCATGCCCAGCATGGAGCCTGATGCGGGGCTCAATCTCATGACCCTGAGATCAGGACCTGAGCTGAAGTCAAGAGTCAGCTCCTTAACCGACTACGCCACCCAGGCACACTGAGATAGGTACTCTTAAGCCACAATATACCAGAATTTTGCTATTCACATCAAAAGCACCTTTCAAACTTTGTGGTAACAGTAATCAGTTTAAAGAAAAAAGATACAACCAGAATTGGGAATGGAATTCAAACCTCCAACTTTTTGCTGTGCTCCAAGCTGCCATTCTTAAAGTCAGTTTAATTTGATGATTTTTCCATTGTGAACAACTTGGGTTTGAACTGCGTGGGTCCACTTGTACGTGGATTTTTTTCAATAAATGCAGTGCCGTAGGCGCCTGGGTGGCTCAGATGGTTAAGTGTCTGCCTTCGGCTCGGGTCGTGATCCCAGGTTCCTGGGATCGAGTCCCGCATCAGGTTCCCTGCTCAGTGCAGAGCCTGCTTCTCCCTCTGTCTCTGCCATTCCCTCTGCTTGTGCTCTTCTGTCTATTTCTCTGTCAAATAAATAAATAAAATCTTCAAAAAAAAAGGTTAAAAAAATAAATACAGTGCCGTACTGTAAACTTATTTTCTCTTCCTTCTTATTTTCTTTCATTTTTTAAAATATTTATTTATTTGTCAGAGAGAGAGAGAGAGAACACAAGCAGGGGGAGCAGCAGGCAGAGGGAGAAGCAGACTCCCCGCTGATCAGGGAGCCCAATGCGGGAGCTTGATCCCAGGACCCTGGGATCATGACCTGAGCTGAAGGCAGATGCTTAACTGACTGAGCCACCCAGGCATCCCAATCCTATGATTTTCTTAATATTTTTTTCTTTTCTCTAGCTTACTTTATGGTTGGAATATAGTATGTAACACATATAACATACAGAATATGTGTTAATCTACCATTTATGCTATTGGTAAGGCTTCTGGTCAACAGTAGACTTAGTAGTTAAGTTTTGGGGAAGTCAAAAGTTATACATGGATTTTCAACTGTGCAAGTTGGGGTGGTCGGCGTCCCTAACCCCCATGTTGTTCAAGGGTCAACTGTACTCTAATTCCATATCCTTTTTCTTTTTTTAAGATTTATTTTAGAGAGAGAGAGAGTACACAAGTATGTGTGAGTTGGGGGAGGGGCAGAGGGAGAGACTCTTTAAGCGGATTCCCCTCTGAGCACAGAGCCCAACCTGGGGCTCGATCTTACCACCCATGAGATCATGACAGGAGCTGAAACCAAGAGTCAGATGCTTAACCAACTGAGCCACCTGGGCGCACCCATATCCTTTCTTATATAACTTTGTGTTTTCCTGTAAATTAAGAATTTGCTTTGTTTTTTCATTTGCTTGCTTATTTTGAAAGTCTGACCAAGTCTTCCAACATCCTTCAGTAGCTCTGTGATACTCCTTTTTTTTATGTTTATTTTTTTTAGTAATCTCTACACCCAACATGGGGTTCAACTTACGACCCCAAGACCAAGAGTCGCATGCTCTTCCAACTGAGCCAGCCAGGGCCCCTTACCATGTTTTTGGTGTCACCATTGAGTTTTTTGCCATTCTAGTGGATGTGAAGTGGTAAAGATTTATTTTTCATCTTGAACCATGTCTCTTGCCTTGGTGTCCTGCTATCTGTCAACCAATCCATGGATCATCAATCAGTCAACACAGAAACCACCCCCTATGTCCTGGGCTATGTTCTCTGAAGGATACAAAGAAGGTTAATGCCCCTGACTTTGAGGATCTACTCTTTACTCTCTATGGTCAGTACCAAAATTCTTATTGGGGCATCTAAGGCTCTGCAGGCTCTGGCTTATGTCTCTTTCTCAAATTCATTTCTTTCCACTTGCTGACCACTGTTTCCTAGTTACCTTTTTTAAAAAAATGTTATCAAGCTCCCTTCTGCCTCTCAGAGCCTCCCCCTGACCCCCGTTCCTTCTCCTAGAGATCTTCTCTCCCAGTGTATACCATGTTACCTCATTCTGCTCTTGGTTTCAGTTTCAGTGTCACCTTCATAGGGACACTTACCCCATCACCCAAGCCAAGGCTGGCTCACTGTTCTGTATGCTCATCACCTTGCCCTTTAACTAATCACAGTAGGTATGGTGGGGAGTGGAGTTGTGAGGGGTCAAATGCCTAGGTTCTGGAGCCAGGCTGGTTTCTAGTTCTGCCTTTGATACTTATTAGCTATGTAACCTTGGGCAAAATACTTTACCTCCCTGGATAGGACTATAATAAAACCTAGCATATAAAGCCATTGAGAGGGTTAAATGAAGTAGGTCATCTATGTCACTTAGAACTTGTTTGGCATTCTCTAAATGCTAGCCCTTATTTTCACGGTTGTAAATTAAACAATTATTTATGTAGATTAAAAAGAAGCATGCCTCGTCAGTGCTGTATCCTCGGCACCTAGCATAGGACTTATTGCATAGTAGGAATTTAAGAAATATTTGTGAACGAATGACTGAATGCCAAGTGTATCCTCCAGGATATCAGAAGGAAAGACATTTTAGAGAGGAGATGGCCAACTCTAATCAATTGGTAGTGACAACCTGGAGTCCTGTGTGGAGAAAATGATTTTGAAGTTGCATCTGTGGTCACAGTGGACCGTGATTGATTGATTAATCATGTCTGCCAAGGCCCTGGAAAAACCCCTCCAAAGCAAGTGTTAAGGGTTTGACCTCTCTGCTATAGAGAACACTCACTATCCTGTTGGAAAGAGTCCAGAATCGTGAAATGACCAGTTTGCCTCCTTTCTCTCTACTGCCTCCCCACTCCTGAACCTTCCATCTTTCCTCTGGGCACTGAGGGCTGTGTTGCATTGCACACGCCCTCTGAAGCACTGTGTTTCTTTCTTTTGGCTGGTCTCTGGACCTACTTCCAATCAGCGTTATTTCAGTTGTCTCACTCCTGCCCTGAGAGGCAACCAAAATGAGCCGAATCAATCCACTAATCACCCTAGAATGACTGGACTTGACTCTTGATTGTTTTCCACCCCAGGAACACCTACAGTTAAATCTAGCCTGGGGGTGCGGTGTGTGTGCCTGTTTGTGGTATAGGGCTGGGTAATGAATCAAATGCGGGGGCGGGGGGGGGGGCAAGGACGCCTAGTGAAGGTGGCCAGAGTGAGGGCATATGCAGCCTCCAAGCTTGCCACGCTGGAAGGTGAGTCCCGTGCTGCCACAGTCTCCAACTTTTTAACAGAGTGCAGAAATCTGGATTTTTACATGAAATCTCCCTAGTTTGAAAAAATGTTTGCAATTAGGGGAACCTGGGTGGCTCAGGCGGTTAAGCACCCAACTCTTGATTTCTGCTCAGGTCATGCCCTCAAGGTCTTGAGATCAAGCCCTGCCTGGGCTCCGTGTCCAGCCGGGAGTCTGCTTAAGATTCTCCCTCCCTCTCCCTCCGCCCCTCCCCGACTCGCTCACTCGCTTGTTAGTGCGCGCACACCTGCGCGCACACTCACTCTCTCAAAAAAAAAAAGTTTGCAATAAAATTTTAAGAAAGCGGTGGGTAGACCAAAGAAAATGGTATTGGTATTGGACTGTACTTGGTCCATTTGCTGTCCCCGTCTGGGCCCTTACTAACCTTTCCAATCCCTCTGCAATGGCCTGGTCCTTCAGAGTTTAACCTTAGGTGACTTCCCCTTCATGACATCACCCCAATCCCTTCGTGGTACATCTTTCTTCTTGTAGGACACTCTGGGGGCCCCTCATGGTAATTATTAATCATCCTGAGATCTATTGGTGCTCCTGCCACGTTACCAGAATTACTCATTTCATTCTCTCAGCTGCCCAGTGAAGTATTTGCACATTTAGAGATGAGGGGGGACGCTGAGATCTTGCTGGGGTCATAAAGCCGTGGAGTTAAGCCGTGGGTTGGAGCTGAGATTCCAACCCGCCAAGTCTGATCTCTACCTTGAGCGACACTGCTTCCTTAAACTCCTCAGCGGCAGGGCGGTGGTCTCAACTCTAGACTGAGTGCTGACTTTCTGCTTGGGAGGAGACCCGCGCGCCTCCTGGCGCTCCTCTTCCCGCCTTTGTGGCCGCAGCCACTCCTTTTCCGGGTTTTGCCGCTCACCGCCCTCCTCAGGCGATAATCCGCTTCCGCATTTTGCGGGGCGCCGGGCGTGGAGGCGGTAACGCGCACGCGCGCAGGGATCCGGCCCGGGCCGAGCGCGCGGCCCGGCGATTGCGGGTGAGGGAAGGGCCGGCCCCGGCGGGGTGGCGGGTCCGGCGGGTCGCGGCCCGGGGTCGGGGCGAGCGGGAGTCTCGGCGAGGGCTTCAGGACTCCCGGGGCATGCGGGGATCGGGGGCTAGAGCCCGGGGCCAGGGCGGCTGGGGTCGGACGGGCGCGTTGGGCCGGGGACGGACTTGGGCCGCCGTGACGCGGGAGCCCGGCCGGGCCCGGGCCCGTGACGCGGGCGGGAGGCGGGTGCGAGGCGGGTGCGAGGCGGCTCCTCCTCGTCGCGAACTCTCGGTGACCTTGGCCAAGTGGCTTCATCTCCCCCCGAGCCGGCGCCTCCGTCTATACAGTGCGCATTATAAGCCCTGCCTACTAGATGGGGCGTTTCGAGGCTCAGTGGCGAGACCGCCGGAGGGGTACGTGGAGTACCGGGCGGTTTGCCGGGGACTGCCCACCCTGGGGCGGGGGAGAAGGGACTTCCTGGTATGGCGTTTTGCTGCAGCCTTTGGCAGGAGTTCTCATCTGGATATTTTAAGGACTCCGGGGCATTAGGAAGTAGTTGCAAAACTTTTAACATAAGAAGGAGGCTTGAAGGGCTTCCTAGAGGCCCACGTTGCCCTGCTGTTACTGGAGTGCTCCCGCTCTGGCCGCCGAGACGGCTCTGAATATTTGGGAAATGGTGTGAAGCAATGGAGCGACGGAGCCCCTTAGTTTTGGAAGAATGAATGTTTGTGATTCGTGTTTGCCAGAACCTTTCCTCCCTGCACAGGAATTTGTGGTGCTGGCCAAGCAAGTTTAGTACGTGTCCATGTGAGGCCTTTGTGAACAGTGGAGTCAATCAGCTGTCCAGTAAACGAATTTTGTAGGGATTGAGTATGGAGGATCCTGTGGTGCCAATAGCCTTTTTTAGGGGTGGTGTGGGATCTCAGGAGCCCTTCCTATGGTGGCCAAGGGTCTGTGGTGTAATGGATACTCAATTATGAATGATAGAAAGTCACAAAAGTAACAAGCATATTAGATATTATTCTAGGTTGGAAGAAATTTAGAATCTTTGAATTGCCTTAAACCGAAACTTTTCACTGCAGGTGACTAGCATGCAGATACCCATTCTCTGACTTGCTGGCCCTCTACTGACATGGCCCACCGGGGTGGGGAGAGGGACTTCCAGACTTCAGCGCGGCGCATGGGCACCTCGCTGCTCTTTCAGCTTTCAGTGCACGAGCGGGAGCTGGACCTGGTTTTTCTGGATCATAGCTATGCCAAGCCGTGGAGTGCCCACCCAGATGCCAGTAGTGCTCGCCCTACGCGCATGCTCTTTGTTACTCCCCGGAGGCAGCATGAAAGTACCATGTGAGTTTGGGCTTCTCTCCTAAGGGCTGCCCTTCCCCTCTAACTGGACAGTAATCAGATGGTGGGGATTAGAAAGGATTTTATTGTGGGAGATTATATGGGGGCCTTGGATATTTACTTAAGGCATCTCTGTTAGGCAGTGTGAGGTTATCCGGCCTATATGTAGACATCTGCATTCAAGACATCTAACAAGTTAGGAAAGCAAACAACATATTCCACGTAGTTAATAGGACTTGTATGGAAAGAGGATTATTTAGCTGGTGATGAAAAAGACAGAAGAGTTGATGTTTTAAAAATTGTCACTCAGGATTAGACTCATTTCCTTTACTCCAGTGTTCTGGCTTGCTCCAACACTGGCAATGATAACCTTTTTGAGGTAATGTGATTTCTCTTTTCTGGCTTCACCCAGCAAAGTTTAGGAGCATATTCCAAGACATATTCCGCCTTGCTTTCTCTCTTAGCTTGTCACCCACGGGTTGATGTAAACCCTTCCTAGGTCTGATTGTATTTTCAACTGGCCTACATTATAGGGTAAGGATTTTTTTTTATAAACTTACTATGTAATATGTGATACAATTACGTTTGGCCTAAATAAACTTGTTTAGCAGTTTTTTGAGCTTTAAGTTATTCTAATTTTATTTCAAGATTGATATATTCTATTTTGATGATCAAATCATGCCCTGAATAATTTTGTAAACTTTTTTGGGGGGAAGAGACTTTTCTTTGTTTTAATCTAATCGAATGTCTTATCTTTCCTCTAGGACAGGTTTTAGGTTTGTTGGTGAATAGAGATCTTTTATTTTGCTTCTTTACATCTCCTATTGAGCCTTAATGAGCTAGAGATACCATGATGTGTGTGTTTTAAACATGAATAGCATAGTGGTGTTTTGTTTGTTTGTTTGTTTGTTTTAAGATTTTATGCGGGACTCAATCCCAGGACCCTGGGATCATGACCTGAGCTGAAGGCAGACGCTTAACGACTGAGCCACCTAGGTGCCTGGATTTATATTTTTAAAAGATCACTTTGAATTTTTGTTGAATAGATACAATTCAGTAGTGGAAATAGAAGACCTGCTAGTATACCATTGCAGTAGTGGGGACCAGAGATCATGATAGGTTGAGTAGAGGCAGAAATAGTACAGATGAAGAAAAAGGATGACCTTGAGATGTATTTCATAGGTAGAACCAACAGGACCTGCCGTGGTGAATTGGAAAGACAGGGAAAAGGTGAAATTAGGATGAGTCAGATTTTTGGCTTGGGTAGCTGAGTGGTATTATGAGTTGGGGAAGACCGGGGGTGAGGCGGTGGGGGATAGGTTAGGAATGGTGACATCTGGAGTTCTCTTTTAGGCATACAAGTCCAAGTGCCTAGCTCAGTGTCTGGTCCAGAGAAGGTAATCAGCTCTTTCATCCACCACCAAATCTAGCTGCACATATTTCACTTCATTTCATAATGATGTAATTATTCCAGCCATTGGGAATAGATGCAATAAGATAATCATGGGGGTCAAAATGTTAAAAGTGATGTTTGATAGACAGCCAGTAGACCATTTTGATTGGCATAGTATTTTGAGTGACTAGTTTGGTGCAGTGAAGAGCCCTTATGGCACTAGGATTTAATTAACAACATTTTAAAATATGAAAGATCCATCACATATCCATTTCTGTTTGTTTCTGTTCTAGACTCCTTAAACAGTGAGTTAAGTAAGGTCTCTACATTCCAGGTGATCTGTCTTAGACAACCATAGGCTTTTATAGCATATAATTACCAGTTGACTTGCTAATGAAAGGGAAAGTTTGTATGAATAATTTAAAACTAGCACTGTCCAACAGAACTCTTTGCAGTGAGAAAAACGTTCTGTATCTGTGCTGTCTAATGTGGGAGCTGCTAGCCACATATGTCTATGGAGCACTTGAAATGTGGCTAGTGTAACCGAGGAACTGAATTTTTAATTCTGCTTAATTTTTATTAATTGAAATAGTTGCATGTGGCTTATAGTTACTGTATTGGAAAGTACATCTAGGCAGTCAGCTGTTTGCTTATGGAATGTTTTTGTCTTTTAACAAAAACAGCTGTTTGTCATTTTTTATGTAGACACATTTTAAAATGACTGTGTTCCCCCAGCACATAACAGCATGTCAGAGGGCAGAGATCTAGACAAGTGTGGGAAAGATGACTTTGGATCGTAATTTTCTTGTGGGTATAATGTGCTTATGCATACTTTCAAGCTGATTATATTAAAAAGTCATTTTTTGGCAACCAGATGATCGTTAAACACCTCTGTTGTGTGAAGTACGTGTGGCCTGGTCCTATTTCCTCACCTGTTTACAGTGAATCAGACGTCCCAATAGATGTGGAGACAGTCACATCAACTCCTGTGCCCCTCTATGACAATCAGAAGGCACGCAGCGTGATGAATGAGTGTGAACGGCATGTCATCTTCGCTAGGACCGATGCAGATGCCCCTCCTCCACCAGAGGACTGGGAGGAGCATGTCAACAGGTAGGCCGCTGCTCAGGAGGACTGGTCACTGCAGGGTTAATGGTCATCGCATTGTCAATATTTTGTATCATCATCTTCGTTGAAACGCATCTATTAGGAGTTTATTTCATTTGTAGCCACACGAGTCAGAATGTTTTCTTAACTCTGTGTTATAACTCTCAGCTCAGGATGCAGTGAGGTGCTTGAGAGGAGGACTTGTGTCTCAGCCCTCTTTGCATCCCTGACCCTAGGACACTGCCTGGCACGTAGTAGGCGTATAATAAATGCTTATTGAATAAGTAAATGAGTTGAATATGATAGGTATGACTAGTTCTGTATCTTATATAGGGTAGGCTATGCTGTCGGAGTTACTCAGACTACAAACAAGCCATTAAATAAGAGTACGTTTGTAAGATACTGTATTTATATGGTCTATAACTAGAGTAATGAAAATGTTTTGGAGTCACTTGAAAAGCTAACAGTTGTTTGATTTGAGTGGCTTTTAAAAATAGATTTACAGTCTATGGTTTTGAGGGAGGTTTCATGAGTTTGTTGGCTGATTTTATTCCCTTGCTTCCTGCTGACCCAGGGGACTCCATTCCTCTCTGGCCCATTTGTCATTGTTCCTTTAACATACATTTATTTATCTTTTACTTACTGCAAACAACTTTATGAAGATAAAATTTACATACCATACAATTCACCTGTTTAATGTGTACACAATCAGTGGTTTTTAGTATATGCGCAACCACAGTCAATTTGATGAACATTTTTGTCATCCACAAAAGAAACTCTGTACCCTTTAACAGTTACTTCCCATTTCCTCCCAATCCCTTCATCCCCTGGCAACCACCAGTCTACTGTCTTTCTCTCTAAATTTGCGTATTCTGGACATTTCATATAAATGGAATCATGAGATATGTGTCCTTTTGTATCTGCCTTTTTTCACTTAGCATAATGTTTTCAAGGTTCATTCATGTCGTAGCATGAGTCAGGACTTCATTCCGTTTTATTGCTGAAATTCCGTTGTGTGGATATATCACATTTTGTTTATCCATTCATCCATTGATGGATATTTGGGTTGCTAACACTGTGACTATTTTGGATAATGTTGCTATGAACATTCATGTGCTTTTTTTTGTGGACATGTGTTTTCAGTTCTCTTGCATATATACCTAGGAATGGAATTGCTGGGTCATATGGTAACTCTGTTTAACTTTTGAGGAATTTCCTACTGTTTTCCAAAGGGGCTTTGGCATTCTACATTCCCACCAGCAGTGTGTGAGAGTTCCAGTTTTCCCACATCTTTGCCAACACTTGTTATTGTCTGCCTCTTTTTTTATTATTACCATTCTAGCGGATGCAAAGTGACATCTCATTGTGGATTTAATATTCATTTCTTTGATGGCTCTATCTCTATCTGCTGTGTGTAAGGGAATGTTAAAATCTTCACATCAAGAGTGTGTAGGTAGTAAACTTGCCATAATGTTGGAGAGCTCTTGTTTTATAATAATGGAAGAGGAAGAGGTAATTAGATAGGAAGAAGGGTAGGAAGGTTTGAGGCAATTGGCACGGTTTCTGAGTCTGGTCAGAAGCAAGGAATGAGATTGAGCAGGTATGCTTGTGTGAGGAGGGTAGTAGCTATGGGAGGAGGAACGGTTCTCCACCTGGGTGAAGAGCTTGTGAAGAAGTTAAGTTGTTTGGGGTGTTGAGTTGGAATTACTGTTGTGCCCTAAAAACGGAAAATGTTCTCCAGAGCTTCAGCTAAAGAGGGAAACTTCTGCTGTGAGTGAAGGTCAACTACTAGAGTATTCCTGGAGTCAGTGAATGCAGCAAAACGGTTTATTGCCATTGTTGCGGTTAATAATAATTAAAAAAATGGTAACAATGGTAGTACCTAAAAAGAACTACCATTTGTTGAGTGCTTTCTAGGTGCCAGGCACTGTGCCACGTGCTTCATATGCATTATTTCTTTTAGTCCTCACAATAATTCTCTGAGCTATATCGCTTCTTCATCTCTATTTTATAAGATGAAGAAACTGAGCTTGGGGAGTTTAAGAAACCTTAGTTTAGGAAGTGATGGGGCAGGAATTTGTTCAAAGCAAGCCGTCTGACTCCAGAGCTCAGTGTTCTTGACTATGTACCCTCTCTTTAAGGGCAAACCTCTCAAAAAGAGAGACCAGTTAGTGGTGGCTGAACAAGGCAGCCTTACAACGTTATGTCTCCCTTTGTGGTGTTACCAGTTGCCTTGTCCTCGGTTTGCAATTTCTGAAACTGCATGGGAGAGCTGCATGAAGTTCTTTTTATCTGTTCACCCATGGTCATGATCAGGAGGTTTTTTTTTTTTTTTTAAGATTTTATTTATTCATGAGACTCAGAGAGGGGGAGAGAGAGAGAGAGAGAGAGAGAAGCAGAGGGAGAAGCAGGCTCCCAAGGAGCAGGGAGCCCGATGTGGGACTCAATCCCAGGACCCTGGGATCATGACCTGAGCCGAAGGCAGACGCTTAACCATCTGAGCCACCCAGGAGGTTTTTAGGGACTCTTCTCATACTTACCAAAGTCATCAGAGACTTAATGCATATGAATATCTGATTCTTAATTTATAAGAAGAGAAATAACCTGTAAGGCAGATGAGACACTGGTGTGGCCTGGCCAGAGCATCATTTCTTGGTAGGAGAGTTTGGGAAGCTATTCCGTTCCAGAAGTGGGTGGTGAGTGGACAGTCTGTCCTGGAGGCCCCCTCCTTCAACAAGGCGGCTGGAGGCACCCATCTTTCCTCAAAGCAAGATGGGCCCACAGAGTAGGCCAGGGAACACCATCACCTGCCCTGTCCTGCAAAGAAACACTGACAGAATCTTATCTTTGGCTTGTCTTTCTCCATGTGGACCTCCATCCTTCTGTTATGACATTGCCACAGATTGATATGATTAATTAGCGCTCAGTTTATCTCAGATTATTTGTTTTTTAGTGTCTGATGAGATTTTGGAGGAGTCCTCTCATTAGCAACAGGCTTACAAACCATCTTTTCAGGTAGGTCACTTTTGCACACAGCTAATTTCATTATTTGATGATACTTACTGGCTTCAATTTCAGAGGTCACCATTTTATGACCTTGTCCCCGAATTCTGGATGTGTAGCCTGTGTAGAGCTTGCAGTTAGTTCCTTGTGCTCTGATTATAATCATCTTGTTGCCGTTCTTTCCCTTGACTTGATTGTTAAATTGCTGCTTCTTTTCTTCCTGTATAAAATCCTGTAAAATTACAGTTTCCCATATCAAGAACTCATGGGCTATATAGGACAGTGCCCTAGAAATCTGTTTTTCCTCAGAGCTTACTGATCTCTCAGTAGAGTCAGAAACTTAATTTTCTTTGTTAGAGCCCTATTTCCCCCGCTTGAATTATTTCAGTAGAAACTGCCTTTAGATAGCTTTCTTGGGATAGATAATGAAGGCCCCCTCCTACCCCCAACCGACTCTGACTTTCTCTAGTAATGCCTGATATTTTGTGAAACAATTTAAATATCCCTCTCTGCCTGATTTAATTGCCTAGATCAGGGGTTGGCAAACTATGGCCCATGTGCCAGATTTCACCCATTGCTTGTTTTTGTTTGGTCCATGAGCTGAGAATGGTTTTTACATTTTTAAGTGGTTGAAAAAAAGTCAAAAGACACATGAAATCAGATTTCAGTGTCCATAAATGTAGTTTCATTGGAACACAGCCATGCATGTTATTTAGGTATTGTCCTTGTCTTCTTTTGCACCATACCCACAGAGTTGAATCCTTGTGACCCAGGCCATGTGGCCCACAAACTGAAATATTTACTATATAGTCTATTAAAGAATAAGTTTGCCGACCTCTGGTCTAGATCATGCTCTTGTGTCTGCATGTCAAAGTCTTGTGGCTTGTAGAGCCTTTGAAAATGATTTACATTTGCTGTATAGCACTGTCGTCCTGAGGAGGTTGGACCGGCTTTTTTTTTTCCCCCAGATGTTTTATCAAACGCCAAGTTTAATTAGATACACAGCTTTTGAAAGAGATTTAACAAAATACTCCTGGCACATGATATTTCTCAGCATGGTCAAATGGATTTTAGGACATTTCCAACATTTCAGTAAAAGAATCTAGTGTCCTTAAGCAGCTTGTCTTATCTTAAAATTCAGAACTTCTGAATTTAGCCAAAGGAAAATTGTTCTGCATTTAAAAATTTGCTCTAATTATATCTCTCAATATTGTATGTGCCTGTCTGTGTATTAATCTTAGGTTGGATATTTGAAATTTTGAGTCTAAGATCTTTGAGTTATTTTTCCCTCTCCCCCCTCCCTCCCTCTCCTTCTCTTTCCTCTTCCTTTCTTCCTTTCTCTTAGTGTTTAAGCAAAGAATTTTTATAATCTGGAAAAAAATAAGTGTGGCCTATTCAGTCCCTCTGATGTTCTTTGTCTCTCCCTGTTTGACTTCTGGTTAAAAAAAAATCCTTTAGACATTTTAATGTTGAATTAGTCTCCCTTAAAACAGTATCAGAGAAAGAATATTACCTTTGAAAACGTCAGGCTTTTCTGGGACCAGTGTGACTTTGGCTGCTTTGGATAAGATGAGCCAGAGGTCAGACATCAGTCAGGTTCTATCAAAGCATGGGGAATACGAGATTATCTGATCTCATTTAAGAAATGAAGAAAAGGCACTTCTGCACTCATGAAAATTGAATTGGTTTAGGTGGGGGGAGCACATTGACTCACCACAGTTCCCATCAGCTATTTGACTGTTTAGACTTGTATTTAAAATTCTGTCTCCTGTTTTTAAAATTTTCCTTAATTATATCTTTTGCATGCTCTTTATCTTAATCTTGGGTTAGATCATTTTTTTTTTCCTGCCCACTTAATTTTCCAGCCTCCCACGAAGCTGACAAAATATAGAGAACACGTTTCAGTTCTTGGAATCACTTTGTTATATATCCAGCAACAATCCTAAGAACTTTTTCTGGGATTTTAGACTCTCAACATTGTGGTTTTTCAATTTAATCTCAGCTGTCCTTGGTGTATTGGTGTATGGTAGTAATTTCTAAGTAGCTTTCTAGCCCCCTCCCATTTTGTTCACATCATTTTTCTTGCTTCCATCATTTTGGGTTTCAGAATAAATATAGAGTAAGAAAAACAAATAGAGAAAACATCCTGTTATATAATAAAGAACAGGATAATTTTGGAACTGCTGTTGGTGCCTTGTAAATAAATTATACCTCATTCTCTGCCCTTGGAATTAAAGTTTGCAACATGATCAATAGACTTTGAGAAAGCACAAGAGATTGTTGAACATGAAGGAATTGTATTCGCTGCTTAACCTGTTTGATTAAAAGTGAGCAATGTTGCCTGGGGTGAAGCCACAGTATAATACCACTTTAGAGGTGTTGCAGTTTTTTTATACATACTATTTTCACACAACTGGAAATTTGAAATTTTTGACACAGATAGCCTTTGATTTTTCATTTCCACTTGAAATTTATCTTACAGAGATACATGCCTATATAAAGATGTAGACAGATGTGTGTAGTGTGTATTTGTGGGGAAAGGAAGGGTGGTCACTGCAACCGTTTATAATAGCAATAAAAGAGACACAACCTAAATGCCCACCAGTAGGGTGGAACCAGCCATTAAAAACAAAGAGGTGTGTTGATATGGAAATACTGTATTTCCAAGTCCACCTGAGAATTGCTGTACATGAGAAAGCGACTACTCATGTGAATGTGCTGTGCATTTAAATAATGTGGAGGAAAATGAGATCGTGAACCAGTGGGCTGGAGCTGCTTCCCCACAAGCCTTCCTGATCCCGAGATATCCTGAGTTCCACTGTTGAGTTGAAGCCTCTCCCCACCTCCTATGTCAAAAATCTCTGAAATATCAAACCACAACAAAAACTGACTGGATCCTAATGAAGTAGCAGGAATTAAGCCAAGAGAACTAGGGGAGAAGAAAAAGGACAATTCCGCAAGACCCAAGACTGCTTTTAGTACCCCATAAGGGGGTTATGAAGGGTGGGAGGCTTGGGAGGTTAAGGGATTCAGCTGTAGCAAGAATAGCTACTGAAGATAGAGGGTGCTTCTGAATTCTCCATCGTGGACTTCAGCTGTTCTCTTACAACTTGTGCTTCCATCAGTCAGCATAGCTGAGATTATGGTTGCTAGAAGCAACCTTGGAGACCAAGAGGTCCACATATATTTTATAGTCAAGGAGCCTGAGGACACACAGCCATCTCTTTATTGCAGAGCTGGTTCTCTAACCAGTTAGTGTTCTCTTGGACTGTGTGTGTGTGTGTGTCTGTGTGTGTGTAACTGTAGTCAGTCGTAAAACTGGAGATTTTATTTTACAGAGGAAATGAAGGCCTGTTATTTTCTCCCTTTCTAGAGGGTACTCTAAGGGCAGTAGGATCAGTGTAGAAAATGAATAACAAAGGGTAATTTGTCCTCCATCTGCATATTTATTAGGCCTCGTTACTAGTATTCTTAGATGACCTGTAGAAAATAGGGTATCTTGCTGGTGGTATATGATGGAAAAGATACTAGTCTGTTATAAAGTAAGAGAAATTGAGATTGTTGAAGCTGTTTCAAGCACCTTCCCTCAGTTTGCCCACCCAGGTATGCCCACCCACTCAGTTTACAGTTGAGCCTGAATCATGTAGCGTTCCTCTCCTGCTCAGTGCTTAGTGTGGTAGGGAGTGTAGGGGTTGGTGTCTGCACTCAGCTATTTACAGGACTTGGAATGTAGTATGCATACAGTTCATCCATTTATTTATTCAGCAGACATTCAAGTGACTCTTGTGTGTCAGACACTGTTTTACATGCTGGGGATATTATACTTAAACAAAACCAACAAAAATCCCTGCTGTGTTGCCCTTTACATTCTAGCAGAGGGAGACACACTAAACAGAAGTAAAATGGGTAGAGCATGAGGTGGTGATATGGCTGGAAGGGGATATGGAATCTGGGTATTGGTAGTTTTAAATAAGGGTGAGTCAGGGGAAGCCTCAGTAGAAGGTAACATTTGAGCAATGACCTGGAGGAGATTGGAGAGGGAGCCGTTGTTTGAGGTAGAAGGAATAGATGACCAGGGCCCAGTCTGCGATGTGGGAGCATGGAGGGTGTGTGTGTCAGGTGGGATGGGGCAGTGTGGTGAAGCCCAGTAAGTCAGGGCAGTCATGGATGATGAGGTTGGAGGCAGTGGGGTCCAGATAGCCTACTGCAAGGAGGTGGCTGGTTTTAACTGATTGAAATGGGGCCACTAAAGGCCTTTGAGCAGAGTGACATGATTTGACTTAGGTTTTTTGATTGATTTTTTTCCCTCCATAATTGATTTTCCACAATGACTTTCCAAAAGGTTGTACTAATTTATATTTCTATCAGCAAAGTATGGAGAGACCTATTTTCTTACACTCTTACAACAAAGAGTATTACTAAATTTCGTAATTTTCACCCATTTGATAGGTGAAAAATAATATTTTATGGTTTTCATTTGTATGTGTGATTTTGGAGGGAGTTGATTACTTTTTTGTGTGTGACCTGCCTTTTCATGTTCTTTGCCCATTGTTTTTGTTTTGAGTATTTTATCATTTTGTCACTAATTTCCTGGAGGGTTTTTCTATTTTAATGAAATGACAGTTACTTTTCCATTGTGTTTTGACTTTATGATAGTTTAGTTTTTTTCTTTATAGAAGTTTGAAGTTTTATCTTTTTTTTTTTTTCTTTTAAAGATTTTATTTATTTATTTGACAGAGAGAGACACAGCGAGAGCAGGAACATAAGCAGGGGGAGTGGGAGAGGGAGAAGCAGGTCTCCTGCTGAGCAAGGAGCCTGATGCGGGACTGGATCCCAGGACCCTGGGATCATGACCTGAGCCAAAGGCAGACGCTTAACGACTGAGCCACCCAGGCGCCCTGAAGTTTTATCTTGATATCGTTAATATTTATCTTTCTTTTATGGCTTCTAGGTCTTAGGTCATATTTAGAAAGGTCTTATTCAAAGATTTTATTTATTTGACAGAGAGAGACACAGCGAGAGAGGGAACACAAGCAGGGGGAGTGGGAGAGGGAGAAGCAGGCTTCCCTCAGAGCAGGGAGCGCAGTGCGGGGCTCGATCCCAGGACCCTGGGACCATGACCTGAGCCGAAGGCAGACGCTTAATGACTGAGCCACCCAGGTGCCCCTAGAAAGGTCTTATTCATACATTATACACACATACCCACCACTTTTTCCTATTTAGTGACTTTATTTTTTAATATTTAACTTTTCTACTTAGAATTTATTTTGGTGTAAAGAGTGATGTGTAGGGGTCCAGATTTTCTTTTTCCAATTGGCTAGTAGTTGTCTCAGCCCTATTTACTTTGACCCTACTGATTGAAATACTACTATGATCTCATTCCAGGTTCTCATTTGAGTCTGGCATCCACTTAAGTTGTTTTTTTAAAGGTAACTTAATTACCAGTTTTTGTGTGTGTGTGTGTGTGGCAGGGAGAGTTGATAAATATTAATTGGGCATCTTCTGTTACCTTTCTCTTAGTCTCTTTAGGAAGGTTACTGGCCAGAGTTCGAGTATCAGAGTCATTAAGATTGCCAGGAGTGGGCTGAGGGGGGACTTAAATAAGCTCCTCGCCACTGTGCTGGGTGTGATGAGATGGGAGCAAGAGCAGTAGGACTAGTTTCTAATTGCAGGAGTTTACTGCTGAGTTGGAGGACACACTAAGCCTTCCTTAATCAGAGTAGAAGCGTGTATACCAGTGTCATGCGGGGTTGGTGTAGTGTTAACTTATATGGAACAGACCATTCAAAAGTAAACTTGCTAATTGTGTAGTATACAGAAAAATATAAAAAATGTACATGGAAAAGGGAAAGAGATGGTGTGGGATGCACTATTAGGGAAAAGCTTCATTTGTTATGTTCCTAAAGGTAATTTAAATAGGTCTCTTATCTTAGTCTGAGGTTTTAGTATACTGAAATACTTGTTCATCCTGTCTTTTTGTGTGAAATATTAAACATGTGAAATTCAAATATATCTGTGCAATGGTGCCATGCTTTTATTTATTAGTGGGTTATTTTAGCCTCTAGATAAATAATTAGCTTTGCTAGCACTGAAAAAAACTTCATTCATAACTGGTTTTGACTTGTAGTGTATATATTAATACAAGTGTAGGCTGAGATGACTTATGGGCAGGATTGGGACTAGAATCTAGGTCTTGTGCTTTAGCTCTGTGGTCTTTAAGCTGCTTTGAGTTACATTATTTCATAGTGTGGACAAAAAACATGGCATAATCTTTGTACAGTGTACATGCATGAGGAGTGCCCCCAGCGTTTGACTTTAATTCCTCGGAGTTTCTCTTATAGGACTGGCTGGACAATGGCCCAGAACAAGCTATTTAACAAGATCCTCAAAGCCCTGCAGTCTGACCGGCTTGCCCGCTTGGCCAATGAAGGGGTAAGACTCTAGAAATTGGCCCGTTGGTGTTCTCTTCCTAGTTCAGCCTTACTGGCTGACTAACTTGTCAGTCCCTCTCCTGCCTGCCCCAGTTGTTAACAAGGTGGCCCTCATGTGTTACCACTTCACCTGCATCTTCTAGGCTTGCAATGAGCCAGTGCTGCGCCGTGTTGCTGTGGACAAGTGTGCGAGGAGAGTGCGGCAGGCTCTGGCAAGTGTGAGCTGGGACACCAAGCTGATCCAGTGGCTGCATACCACCCTGGTGGAGACCTTGAGTCTGCCCATGCTGGCCGCCTATCTGGATGCTTTGCAGACACTGAAAGGGAAGGTAAGGCTTGACTGGCGTCTGCCCTGTCCTGGGTTGGCCAGCCTCTGCTGTGGGTTCAGCAAGTGGGGTTGGGCAAGGTCACTGCCTGGTCAGCCTGGAGGACAGGACTGAAGCGAGCAGGTTTGCTATTAAAAGTAGGAGACATGGTATCATTTCACGTTTTGTCTGGTATAAACGTCTTTAGCCCTGCTGTCTCCAGGATGAAATGTGAGGCCTGAAAACCAAAATGTACTTTTAGCCTCTCTAGCCCTGCAGCTTGTGGTTTGAGTCACCTCTGAGGTGAGGTGAGAAAAGAATTGAATTATCATGGGGGAGACGAAGGGTTTACCAGGGAGGTGTGTTGAGGAGGCAAGAGGCAGACTTGGGTGTTTGGAGTGCGGGGCTGCAGAGTAGGGAGATTTCCAGAGTGCTGTCCATTCTAGACTATGCTCTCAGCTGTGGTTCCTCTACTGACAGACTCTTGTTCTCTTAGACTGTCAGGTTCACAATGAATACTTTGATTGTTTCTCTCTAAAACTTTTTTGAATTTATTTTTAATTTTTAAGTATAGTTGAGATACAGTGTTACATTACTTTCAGGTGTACAACATAGTGATTTGATAATTCTATAAGTTACTTAGTGCTCACCCCAATAAGTGTAGTCACCATCTGTCACCATAGAATGTTATTGCAATATTATTGACTATTCCCTATGCTGTGCTTTTCATCTCTGTGACTTATTTATTTTATAATTAGATGTTTATCTCTCTTAATCCCCTTTACTTATTTCACCCATCTCCCTAACCCTCTTTCCTCTGGCAACCAGCAGTTTGTTCTCTGAATTAATATGAGTCTATTTCTGTTTTTTAATTTGTTCATTTGTTTTATTTTTTAGATTCCACATATAAGTGGAATCATACAGTATTTGTCTTTCTCTGACTTTATTCACTTAGCATAATATCCTCTAGGTCCGTCTATTTTGTTGCAAATGGTGGGATCTCTTTTTTATGGCTGAGTAATATTCTATTGTGTATATATACCACATCATCTTTATCCATTCATCTATGGTTGGACACTTGGTTACTTCCATATCTTGGCTATTATAAATAATGCTGCAGTGAACATAGGGTGCATATATCTTTTCAAATTAGTGTTTTCTTTCTTTCTTTCTTTCTTTTTTTTTGGATAAATGCCCAGGAGTGAATTACTGGATCATATGGTAATCTATTTTTAATTTTTTGAGGAACCACCATACTGTTTTCCCCAGTGGTTGCATTACATTCCCACCAAATGTACACAAGAGTTCCCTTATCTCCATACCCTTCCCGCATTTGTTATTTCTTGTCTTTTTGATTTTAACCATTCTGACTGGTATAAGGTGGTAACTCCTTGTGGTTTTGATTTGCATTTCCCTGATGGTTAGTGATGTTGAGCCTTTTTTCATGTGTCTGTTGGCCATCTGTATGCCCTCTTTGGAAAAGTGTCTATTCAGGTCCTCTGCCCAATTTTTAATTGGATTATTATGTTTTCGGTGTTGAGTGGCATAAGTTCTTTATATATTTTGGATATTACCTTCTTATCAGATATATCATTTGCAAATATCTTCTCCCATTCAGGAGGTTGATGGTTTCCTTTGCTGTGCAAAAGCTTTTTTATTTTGGTGTAGTCCCAATAGTTTATTTTTGCTTTTGTTCCCTTGCCCGAGGGGACAGATCATAAATACGTTGCCTGAGGCCATTGTCGAGGAGGTTACTGCCTCTGTTTCCTTTTAGGAGTTTTCTGGTTTCAGATCTCACATTTAGGTCTTTAATCCATTTTGAGTTTATTTTTGTGTATGGTATAAGAAAGTGGTCCAGTTTATTCTTTTGCATGTAGCTGTCCAATTTTCCCAACACCATTATTTATTTATTTATTTATTTATTTTTAACATTTTTTTTTATTTGACACAGAGAGAGGGAGATAGAGAGAGCACAAGCCGGGGAGCGGCAGGCAGGCAGGCTGGAGGGGGAGGGAGAAGCAGGCTTTCTGCTGAGCAAGGAGCCCGATGCGGGACTCAATCCCAGGACTCTGGGATCATGAGCTGAGCCGAAGGCAGCCGCTTAACCAACTGAGCCACCCAGGCGTCCCTTCCCAACACCATTTATTTAAAGAGACTGTCTTTTCCCCATTGTATATTCTTGCCTCCTCTGTCATAGATTAATTGACCATATAAGTGTGGGTTTATTTCTGGATTCTCTATTCTGTTCCATTGATCAATGTGTCTGTTTTTGTGTTAGTGCCATACTGTTTGGATCACTGTAGCTTTGTAGTATATCTGGGATATACTGTAGTAAGTCTGGGATTGTGATACCTCCAGCTTTGTTGTTCTTTCTCAAGATTGCTTTGGCTATTTGGGGTCTTTTGTGGTTCCATACAAATTTTAGGATTATTTGTTTTAGTTCTCTAAAAATTGGTATTGTTTTTTTTTTTTTAAAGATTTTATTTATTTATTTGAGAGAGAGAGAATGAGAGACAGCACGAGAGGGAAGAGGGTCAGAGGGAGAAGCAGACTCCCCGCCGAGCAGGGAGCCCGATGTGGGACTCGATCCTGGGACTCCAGGATCATGACCTGAGCCGAAGGCAGTGGCTTAACCAACTGAGCCACCCAGGCGCCCTCTAAAAATTGGTATTGTAATTTTGATAGGGTTTGCATTGAATCTGTAGATTGCTTTTGTTGGTATTATGGACATTTTAACAAATTTAATTTTTCTAATCCATAAGCGTGGAATATCCGTTTTTGTTTTTGTTTTTTTAAGATTTTATTTATTTATTTGACAGAGAGAGACACAGCAAGAGCGGGAACACAAGCAGGGGGAGTGGGAGAGGGAAAAGCAGGCCTCCTGCTGAGCAGGTAGCCTGACGCGGGGCTCGATCCCAGGACCAGACCGTGGCATCATGACCCAAGCGAAAGGCAGATGCCTAACAACTGAGCCACCCAGGCGCCCCTGGAATATCCATTTCTTTGTGTCATCTTCAATTTCTTTCATTAATGTCTTACAGTCTTTAAAGTAAAGGTCTTCTACCTTCTTTTAATGCACCTGTTGGATGGAAATGCAGGTGAATGGGATCATGCTCTTTGCCCAGCTACTTTCAGCATTAGTGAAGAGAGCCATTGTGAAGAGAGCAGAGAAGGTATACACCCTAGTGTCTTAATTTTCTGTTGAGAATGATGCAGTGTTGGAAAGACCAGCTAGGCTTGGTCTGCCTAGCTCCAAGCATAGGTTACTGATTAATTATTCTAAGTAGTCTATATTGACAGAAGGTGAGTTTCAAGGCTTTATTGTTTCAGAGTTGTAATCTATTGCCAGATAAAAGCTTTTAAAGTCTAATTCGGATTAGATCCTCTGCCTCAAGGTGTTGAGTGGCTTGTAGTTACCAAATAAGTTACAAAAAAAGTGGCCAGTTTGTAGTGAGGATCCTTTGCCTTTGTTAACTGTCCTTATGTCCTCCCTACTTCCATACTTGAATCCCTGACTTCAGGCCATCTCTATCTAGAATAAGCCCTACAAAGTCTTGCTTCTGTCTGGTGTCACTGATTGGAAAGCATTTTTCCCATGTTCTGTTGGAATTCTGCAGAACACATCTCACTTCACATGCTGCGTCTTCAGATGAAAATTGCCTCGACTTCCTCCTCCTCTGTCGGATGGTTTGAATCAGCAGTGTGGGGTTTCTGTTTTTTTTTTTTTCTGGCAGTTATAAATAGCCTCTTTTGTTATTTGTGTGTTTGTCTTCCTTACCCCTAGTAGATTAAGTTCTTTTGCAGTACAAGCCTGGTGCCTTGTAACTGCAGCTGTGGCATCAACATTTGTTTCCTGAATTAAACTGAGACGGTCTCATGATATATTTCCCCTAATTTCTCAGGCAAAAATCTTTTTAGTCTTGATTTTTTTAAATTAGTAATACTGTCCGTGCTTGTCATTGCCTGGCGCAGCTTACTTTCTTGTGTTATCTTTGAACTTTGACGTATAGCATTTTATTAGTTTCAGCTGTACAACATGACTTGATATTTGTATATATTGTGAAATGATCACCACAGTAAGTCTAGCTAATGTGTGTCACTGTACGTAGTTATAAAATTTTTTTTCTTGTGATGAGAACTTTTAAGATCTACTCTTAGCAACTTTTTATTTATTTATTTATTTATTTGACAGAGAGACAGTGAGAGAGGGAACACAAGCAGGGGGAGAGGGAGAAGCAGGCTTCCCGCTGAGCAGGGAGCCCAATGCGGGGCTTGATCCCAGGACCCTGGGATCATGACCTGAGCCAAAGGCAGATGCTTAATGACTGAGCCACCCACGCACCCCCAGATCTTCTACACTTTAATTGGATTATTTTTTTGCTATTGAGTTGTAAGAGTTCTTTATAACCCCTTATTGGATATATCATTTTAGATATCTTCTGTTCAGTAGGTTGCTTTTTCATTTTGTTATGGTTGCCTTTGCTTTGCAGAAGCTTTTTAGTTTGATGTAGTCCCAATAGTTTACTTTTGCTTTTATTGCCTTTGCTTTTGGTGTCAGATTCAAAAACTTAACACCAAGACAGATGTCAAGGAGCTTAATGCCTGTGTTTTCTTTTTTTTTTAAAGATTTTATTTATTTATTTGACAGAGAGAGACACAGCGAGAGAGGGAACACAAGCAGGGGGAGTGGGAGAGGGAGAAGCAGGCTTCCCACAGAGCAGGGAGCCCGATGTGGGGCTCGATCCCAGGACCCTGGGATCATGACCTGAGCCGAAGGCAGACGCTTAACGACTGAGCCGCCCAGGCGCCCCAATACCTGTGTTTTCTTACAGGAATTTTATGGTTTCAGGTCTTATGTTGACATTTTTGATCCATTTTGAGTTATTTTTTTTTTAAGATTTTATTCATTTAAGAGAGAGAGACAAGAGAGCGCACAAGCAGGGGGAGAGGCAGAGGGAGAGAGAGAAACAGACTCCCTGCTGAGCTGGGAGCCCGTGGGGCTCCATCCCAGGACCTGGAGATCATGACCTGAGCCGAAGGCAGATGCTTAACCATCTGAGCCATCCACGCACCCCATTTTGAGTTAATTTTTGTGTATGAGGTAGTGGTTCAGTTTCATTCTTTTGCATGTGGCTGTTTAGTTTTCCCAATACTATTTATTTCCCCATTGTATATTCTTGGCTCCTCTATTGTAAGTTAATTAACCATGGATGCCATATATTTGTGATTTTATTTCTGGGCTTTCTGTTATGTTTTGTTGATCTATGTATCTGTTTTTATGCCCCAGTCATACTCTTTTGCTTACCTGAGGTTGGTAATACAGCTTGAAATCAGGGAGCATCGTGATGCCTCCAGCTTTGTTCTTTCTCGTGATTGCTTTGGATATTTGGGGTTTTTTTGTGGTTCCATACAAATTTTAGGGTTGTTCTATTTCTGTGAAAAATGCTATTGAAATTTTGATAGCTATTGCATTGAGTCTGCAGATTGCTTTGGGAGTTTGGACATTTTATTTTATTTTATTTTTTAATTATTTTTAAAATATTTTATTTATTCATTTGAGACAGAAAGATAAAGAGAGAGCATGACCAGGGGGAGAGGCAGAGGGAGAGGGAGAAGCCGACTCCCCACTGAGCCAGGAGCCTGATGTGGGGCTCGATCCCAGGACCCTGAGATCATGACCTGAGCCAAAGGCAGACGCTCAACCATCTGAGCTACCCGGGCACCCCTTGTTTATTAGTTCTAACAGCTTTTTGGTGGAGTCTTTAGGGTTTTCTATATAGAATATGTCATCTGCAAATAGTGTTAGTTTTACTTCTTCCTTTCTAATCTGCATTCTTTTTATTTTTCTTGTCTCATTGCTCTAGCTAGGACTAATAGTAATACAATGTTGAATAGAAGTGGTAAGAGTGGGCATCCTTATCTTGTTCCTGATCTTAGAGTAAAAGCTCTTAGCTTTTCACTGTTGGGTATGGTGTTAGCTGTGGGCTGACTTTTTACAACCTGCATCACCATAGTACTTTTCATTCTCTGGTTTTTCAGAATGTTTTTGTCTTAAAGATTTTTATTTATTTATCCGAGAGAGAGAGAAATCACAAACAGGAGGGTGGGGTAGAGGGAGAAGCAGGCTCCCTCCTGGGATCACGACTTGAGCTGAAGGCAGACACTTAACCAACTGAGCCACCCAGGTGCCCTGTTTTTGTTTTTTCTGAAGAGTACCTTTAACATTCAAAAATCTTTCCTTTCCCCTATGTCACTTTGACCTTTTGTGCGTAATGTGGAATTCACAGCGATATTTCTTCCTTTTTTTTTTTTCACAGAGATATTTATTCTCAGCGTAAGCATCAGCATGTCAGAAACCTATACTTAAACATCTGTGAGGTCACATTTTCTGGTGAATAGTGAAAAATAGGATATGGTATAAATCACAATATACACAATACATAGGATATATTATTTTGGGCACAGTAACGATTTCTTTAACATGCCAAAGCTTGAAGGCAATACTCTAGAAGAAAATGCAGATTTTTTTTTTTTTTAATTTATAGAGTCAACTGATGTTCATTGAGGAAGTTTAGGAAATACAGAAATCTAAAAAGGAAAAAACTGGGGGTGCCTGGGTGGCTCAGTCGTTAAGCATCTGCCTTCGGTTCAGGTCATGATCCCAGGGCCCTGGGATTGAGCCCCTCATCGGACTTCCTGCTCAGCGGGGAGCCTGCTGTTCCCTCTCTTGCTGTGTCTCTCTCTGTCATAATTAAATAAAATCTTAAAAAAAAAATAAATAGGAAAAAGCTGTCCATAATTCCATAAAGATAACTATTAATATTTTGGCATATGTTCTAATAGCATTTTTTCTGAGTAGAGGTAATTTTTTATGTTTTCTATTTTTTCTTTAACTAAATTTAGCAAAGTTATTTCCTTATTACAAATTCTTTGAAATATTTTAAATTAACCCTTAATATCTAGTTTTGTGGATAATTTGCTTAATCACGCTCTTACTTCCCACCTGATTCCTGCTAGTGGGCAGGTCTGCTTCGCACTGGAAACATTTTTGCTTTTACTTCTAGATCCCTACTTTGATTGACCGGATGCTTGTGTCATCTAACACGAAGACTGGGGCTGCAGGAGCTGAGGCCTTGTCCCTCCTGCTGAAGAGGCCCTGGGATCCTGCTGTGGGGGTACTTTCTCATAACAAACCAGTAAGTCAGAGCAGCTCAGGACTTAACTATGACCCACAAAATTTTTAGAATCCAGTCTCAGAACCTTAGCAAGAAGATAATAAATGACTTAACTTTTCATTAATAACTGGTTGTGTGTAGTGCTTAGCAGAGTTTCATAAGGAAATTGGCATTGGTTGGGGTAAGAAAGGTATTGGGATACTTGAGATTTTGTGGAGTAACACCTCACCCTCACTGGTTCTCTGTTGGGGTTCTTTCTCCTTAGAGCAAGCTCCCTGGCTCTCCTCTCATTCTCATTGCCTCCTCCGGGCCTTCTAGCTCCGTGTTCCCCACCTCACGCCGCCACCGCTTCTGGCAGTCTCAGCTCTCCTGCTTAGGCAAGGTATGTGTGGGAATAAGAGGAACTGTCTCCTGGGTCGGAATAGAGTCTTGGAAGACTGAGCACACAGAATGTGGGAGGGAGACAAAATAGATGGACTTAAGTGATGAGCATCCCCCGCCCCCACTCTTTTTGTTTTTAATTGGAATGGTGCTTATCCAAGGTTGAAGGGATTTAGGGTAGGTTAAGCAGAATTGAGAGAAGATTTGAAATTTAATCTCTGCTGGCATGGCTGCCACTTTCTTTCCTTTAGGTCATCCCTGTAGCCACCCATCTGCTGAACAATGGTAGTGGGGTAGGAGTTCTGCAGTGTCTTGAGCATATGATTGGGGCAGTGAGAAGCAAAGTGCTGGAGGTGAGAGTGCCCTTGTTTCAGGTCATTGTGGCACACCCAGCATGCTGGGCTTGTTTTGCACCTGGCTGTGGCCTCCTGTCTTACTGTCTTCTTTCTCTTCCCACAAAGATTCACAGCCATTTCCCCCACAAACCCATTATCTTGATTGGCTGGAATACAGGAGCTCTGGTGGCCTGTCACGTAAGTAATTCCCATCTCACTTGGAGGCTGTCTTGGGATAGAATACTGATGCTTTTACTGCTGATTGCTACCATCGAGTCCTTTTTTATGTTCTAGACACTGTGCTAGATGATCTGCATACATATATGCATTTTAAAGTGTAGAAGACTATTTTTTAACTTTATTGTGGAAATTTTAAACAGAAACTTAAAGGGCGAACAGACCTATAATAAATCCTGTGGGCCTCTCACCCAGCTTTACCAGTGATTAACTCATGGCCAGACTTTTTTTATCTTAGCCCTGCCCACTTTCTCCTCCAATTATTTTGAAGAAAATCCCAAATATCATTTATGTTATATATATATATGTATTTCAGCATGTATCTCTGAAAAAAATTCTTCCCCACCCCCAAACATAAGTACTATTCTCCCACCTTAAAAAAGCAGGCATAAATTTTAGCAGCTTTGGAATTTGATGTTGTGTTAGTATTCTGTCCCTTTCTAAGACATCAAGGAATTTTTTCTTTATTATTTTACATACATTTGTACGTACATTAGTTTGTATAAGAGTCCCTGACCTGTCCAAAGCCCCAGTTCTCAAGTGGGTCAAATAAGTGGAGTCCTTGCTGCTTCATGTGGTCTGGTCAAGTATGACATCTAGGGCCACTAGAGGAAGGAGGCAGTCTCCCCACACTCCCTGGTCCTGGGAATAAGAGAATTCAGTCAGCAGCTGCTCTAACAAATTTGGAGTGTCTGGGAGCTAACCATTGGATTCAAAAGGGAGAGATTCTCTTTGCTTAAGGAAGAAGAGCAACATTTGTGTCCTCCTGATTGCATTTGCTGTATTAGTGGAGGAAAAAGTGAATAGGAGGACTCAAGTCTAGGAAATTAATAGGATGGAAGCATTGAGCTTCCCATCCTGCGGTTCAGCCCTCTGCTGCAGTTCTTGCACGGCTCCATCTTGTGTCCTGGGATCTTGTGTCTTGTGATCTTACTGCTGCCACTATGGCTGGTACTCCTGGGGATTAGGACTGGGGAGGAAGAGATGGGACTGGCTGGTAGATCTGGACCACCTCTCGACTCTGGGTAGGGTGTAGCTGCAGTAAAGTCCATTGACCTTGAGACAAACTATTTTATTATTTCCAGGTGTCAGTGATGGAGTACGTCACTGCAGTTGTCTGCCTTGGGTTTCCTTTACTTACCGTGGATGGTCCCAGAGGGGTAAGCATGGGGTGCAGCTGATTGCTGGGTCACTGGCTGGTGAGAATAAGGGGGTACGTGCATCACCCAAACTGGCACTTAGCGACTGCAGTTGCCCAGCTGACTCCCCTCAGCGGACTTGACAGGTCAGTGCTCAGTGAACAGGAACTGGGTGATTATAAAACCTGTACATGTTTTAGGATGTGGATGATCCCCTCTTGGATATGAAGACTCCAGTCCTCTTTGTCATTGGGCAGAATTCCTTGCAGTGTCATCCCGAAGCCATGGAAGATTTCCGGGAGAAGATTCGGGCTGAGAACAGCTTGGTGGTGGTTGGGGGAGCTGACGATAATCTCAGGTATGTGGCTTCCCCCAGAGCTGTGAGAGAGCTATGTTGCAGTGTTGGAGAGATGCCAGTGAGGTGGTGATGTAACTACAGACTAAATCTGCTTCCATGAAGGGGGGAGCCATTTTACATTTTAAACTAATTCAGATTTATAAAAAGTTGCAAAAATGGTACAAAAAAATTCTTACATACCCTTAACTCAGATTTCCTAAATGTTAACATCTTAAATAACCAGAGTGTAATTATCAAAATGAGGAAGTATTTTATGATGGTATTATCTCATCTGCAGATGCAGATGTTGTCAGTTGGCTCACCAGTGTCCTTTTCCTGTCCGGCATCCGATCCAGGATTGCATGTGGTTATTAGTTGCCTTGTCTCCTCAGTCTCCTTGAGTTTGATACTATTCCTTAGTCTTCCACGACCTTGACATTTTGAAGACTTCTGGCCGGTTATTTTGTAGGCCGTCCCTCAATTTAGGTTTTTGACATTTTTTGTGATTAGGTGGAGCATATGAATTTTTGGCAGGAATGCCAGAGATGATAAGCCCTCAGCGCATCCTTCCTGGGGATACGTGATGTTGATGTGTCTTATCACTGGTGATGTTAACCTTGATCACGTGAAGGTGGCATCTTCCAGGTTTCTCCACTGTCAAGTTACTCTATTTGCCTTTGTGATTAGTAGTTACCCAGTGGGAAGGAGATACTTTGAGACTCGGTGAATGCAGTCTTGGTGCTTTCAATGGGGTAGGCATTTCTTTATATTTTGTTCCTTACTGAGGATGTACATGAACATAGATTTTATTTGTATTAAACATCCTTTTATATATTTTGGAGTAAAAATAGCTGGAGTTTGGAAGGGGCACTTAGGGCATTGAGATGGCCACTGGTCCCTTAAAGACTGGCTGCTTGTAGGGCCTTTAAAAATGCTTTCATGAAATTGTACTGAAAAAGAGGTGTGTCATTTGTTGGGCTTCCTTTTTTTATATGTTCAATTTCAGAGATTAATTTCATTTGTGTGCTTTAGCTAGTGAGCTTAAAGCAAGTACCTGCTCCCACCTGTCTTGTAAGTTTCTTACTGAGGGCTGTTTTAGAGAGGTCCTTCTGGTCTTTGTCATTTGGCTGTTTCTCGTGGGTCTAGAATCTAATGCTTTGGTGCTTAAGGCAATATTTTCTTGTAAATACATTGTCTTTGTTGGTTATTCAGACATTCTTATCTATAGGAGGGTAGCGTGTGTGTGTGTGTGTGTGTGTGTGGATATGTGTGTGTGTTGAGTGGCAGTGAGGGAACAGGAGAGATGGGAACACTTTAGTTGGGAGTTATGTTGTGAGGCTGCTTATGAGACATGTTTGCAGGGTGCTTGAGTGTCAGCCTGCAAATCGGAAGACCTCAATTTAGTCTTGGTTGCTTTGCTAAGAAACTTGGGTAAACTGCTTAACTTCTGGGACTTGCTGTCCTCATCTTACAGGTGAGGGTGCTACACAAGGTCAGAGGCCAACAGCCAGTAAATTGGGGTCTCAGAATTTGGAAGCATAGAATGTTGTTCTCCACCCTGTCACTTGGGACCCTGTTTTTCCTCTCTGCTGAGATCCTCAGCCAGAAGCCAGAGGTTTTAAAACTAGCTTCCAAAGAAGGGAATGTAGCCATCTGTGCCCATTTTCTTCTTTTTTTTCCTTTTTTAATGATTTTGCTTATTTGTCAGAGAGAGCACAAGCAGGGGGAGCGGCAGGCAGAGCAGGTAGAAGGAGAAGCGATGAGGAACTCTATCCCAGGACCCTGGGATCATGACCTGAGCCAAAGGCAGATGCTTAACCGACTGAGCCACCCAGGCATCCCTGTGGCCATTTTCTCTTATCCTTTTATTTATTTATTTATTTTTTAAGATTTTATTTGTTTATTAGAGAGAGAGAGACAGTGAGAGAAAGAACACAAGCAGAGGGAGTGGGAGAGAGGGAGAAGCAAGCTTCCTGCCGAGCAGGGAGCCTGATGCGGGGCTCGATCCCAGGAGCCTGGGATCATGACCTGAGCCGAAGGCAGACACTTAATGACTGAGCCACCCAGGCGCCCCTTCTCTTACCCTTTTAGAAGTAACCTGCAACCATCTTTCCTCTTCTAATCTCATTTCTACAGCGTCCAGTAATCTCAGGGTTTGGGCCTTTTTTGGGGGACTTCTAGAGGTTGAGGTCTTAGAAGTCAAGAGTTTATCTGGGAAGCCATAGGTATAGGACTTTTGGAGTGTACAGTCCTAGGCAGTTTTCATATGTTCTCTGGTTCTCTACATATGATTTTTGTAATACCCCCAAGTCCATGAGCGAGGTGTTATGATTCCCCATTTTGCAGAATACGGAACATGATGATCAGAGAGGTGGTGATACCTGCCTGAGGGCTAATGTAGTCCTCCTTCCTGGGCCCAGAAAATAGCCAACACAGAAGAGAAATCCATATTATGCCATGGAATGTTTAAAGTAAACATTTCCTCCTCTCTGTCTCTTAGAATAAGCAAAGCAAAGAAGAAATCAGAGGGGCTGACTCAGAGCATGGTGGACAGATGTATTCAGGTACACCGTAGCTTTATGTGTTTTTCTCAGCGAGGCTTGCCTTTCTATAACCTTTTAGGCTTGATCTTGTTGGCAGCAGTGTCTTTAGCTCTGAAGTGTGAGGGAGTATCCAGTGGAGCCTCTCGTAGAACTAAATCATAAAGAAAAGGGGAAAGACAGAGGGGAAGAAGTAGAAATGTGTATGGAGCATCGGGGGGGGGGGGGGTTTATTGGAGGAGTTGGGGGGGCACGACCACCCCAGAGTGCCAGCCCACAGAGGCGTCGGGGAGTAGGCTCCTGCTGGTCTTTGGCTGAGGCTGGGGTTTGTGCCTGGCTCGGTGTGCATGGAGAGGGACCAGCACGCCCAGTGCCAGAGCTGGTGTTAATTGAATGGAGTTGAGCCTTTTGGGGAGGTTCCTGTTCCCTAGACTGAGGACTCAGTGGCCCGGGCCCCTCTTCACACTAGGATGAGATCGTGGACTTTCTGACTGGAGTGCTCACTCGCGCTGAGGGGCACATGGGCTCTGAGCCTCGGGATCAGGATGCTGAGAAGAAGAAGAAGCCTCGGGATGCAGCCCGAAGAGACCTGGCCTTTGAGGTGCCCGAGCGGGGCAGTCGGCCTGCCTCACCAGCTGCCAAGCTGCCTGCCTCACCCTCAGGCTCGGAGGTAACGCGGGAAGGGAGGGAGCACTTTGCTGGGGAAGTAGGACTGTGGAGTTGGTTCCTTCACTTCCTGGGGGTGCTTGTTTGTCTTGCCAGTGCTGTAGACCTTTGAGTTCCTAGGAGGAGAATTTCTGGGCCGGGAATTCCAAGGGAACATGATAATTGGTGGTCAGATCCAAACAGCTGGCTCAGCTCTTATCCTTCTCACCCTACTCAGGATCTTTCCAGTGTGTCTAGCAGCCCCACCTCCAGTCCCAAGACCAAAGTGACTACAGTGACCTCTGCCCAGAAGTCCAGTCAGATCGCGAGCTCTCAGCTCCTGAAGAGACATGTGCAGCGCCCAGAAGCTGTGCTGACCCACAAACAAGCCCAAGGTAGAGGCTTCTTGGCCCAGTGGCCTCTTGGTTTATCTTCTGGAGTGATGTCATGTGGCATTTGAAAAGTATTGGCATCTGCAGCTTTTTCCGGGGGCATGTGAGAGGTACCCTTTCCCACATTTCTGTACTGACAAAATTAGGTTGAAATGAATACCAAGGATTGTTTTCAAGGGTAAGACATCACAGAAGGTCTGTGCGTTAGTGGAGCTGTATAGTTCCACTAATTATAGCTTTGCTTTGGTGTTCTGGGGAAGTTAGGCTTTGTGAGCTGACTACGTGTGTATTTGCCTCAAAATTTTTTCTGACTCCCAACTGGGGAAGCTACCTGCTCTGTTCTAGGCCCTGCCCAGCCACTCGTGCGGTCAGGGCGCTCTTCAGACCATGTGGACAGGGTGATTAGCTTTATTCCTGAGATTCCAGGGCAGTGCAGCTGGTATCATGCCCTTTCTTTGTTTTGCCCTTAAAGAGTTAAGATTCCCACACTGGGACGTTCAGGGAAGTTTATCGGGGTTTCTGCAGATAGGCTTTAGATTAGGCTAGGAAATGTTTGTATGGTTGAGATTAGAGTCTAGAGAACAGTGAGTGCTACTGAAGCTGTAGAAAAGGGACAGTGTTTTGGGCAAAGAGAAAAGAAACGGTGGCTTTTCCCCTTTCCCCCACTTTGATCCAGTTGGGCAGCCCCAAGGTAAGGCCTCTTGGGCATTGTGTTTGATGAGATATCCAGGAACATGTATCATCTGAAGCCTCAGGTACCTGGGAGGAGGCAGCACCAGAGTTGATTGTCAAGTAGAGAGACGCAGAGATGACATAGGCTGATCTGCTCACTTCCCCTGTGCTTCTTTTAGTGGAGCCAAAGGGTCAGGACTTCAATCCAGGCCTCTTATGAGGGTGCCCTTAAGAATGGTGCTAACAAGGAGCACGTTTGAGTGGATCAGTGAACGCAAAAAGACCAAAAAAAAAAAAAAAGGCCAGGCCCCCTAGGGTCCACGTGGATGGTCTGTGACCTGACTTCTTAAGTGGTGGCATGAGCCAAGTTCTGGGTGGGTGGTGTTCACTTAGGCTTTTGATGGAGAGAGAGCCAGTGGTTGGCTGTGCTTCTGGAGGGGATACGAGGTTGAGAATCTGAGGAGTTCTGGAAGGCTGATTGGTGATCTGGGTTTGAAATGGGGCCCAGAATACCATGGCGCCGAGCAGCGGCCATAGCGCCCTGGCTTTGGCAGGGCTCATAAGGCAGGAGGGGATAGTCATAGATAACTTTTATGGAGCCCTGACTACGTGCCATGCCGTTTTCGTAGCACTTGACTTGCTGTTGCTCACTGAATCTTGGCAATGGCCCCATGAGGCAGGTGCATTTATTATTTTCAGTTTAGAGATGATTCCATGGAGCTGCTAGGAGTCAGGTTTCAAACCCATGCAGTAAATCTGAAAAAAGCCCTTGTTGACCATTTTCTAGAACATTTTCATATCTTTCTTACTCCCTCTCCTTTTCTCCTTTCTCTGGCTGGCTGTGATTCTGTAATTTTCTGATTCATTCCAGCACAGTTTGCTGCTTTTCTGAAACAAAATATGCTGGTGAGGAAAGCTCTTCCTCCCGGCACCTCCTCCTGTCTCTTTGGTGAGTATTGCTCTTCCTCTCACCTTCTCACGCTCTGCTCTCTGCTTCTCTCCACTTCTCCCTTGTTTTCTTCCCAGTCCTGCCTCTCATTTGTCTCTGGTTTCCTCCTGTTCTTTTCTCTCTTCCTTTTTCTGTCTTCTGATTCCTTTCTTGGCTGACTCCTTTTGCTTACTCCTCCATAGTACTTGCTTTTTCTCCATACTTTCTGTTTGCGTCTCATGGTTTTTCCTTTTTGGTCTCTTGTGGTTCTTGGCTCTGCTTCTGCTGCGTGTGCCTGTGTCCCATTGCCTGTGAACCTCAGTTTCCTTGTGTGTTTTTCTCCCTGCCTCTGGTTTCCTGCTTCCATCCTGGCCGCTACAAGCACACCAGCCACTGTCAGCATAAAACCTGTGGCTCCTTTCTCTTTCACCCTCCTTCCTATTCGATTTTAGTCAATGCATTTATCCCCTAAGTGAGCCTTCCAGCTGGTTATGCCCTGTGGCCCAGGCCAGGACCCCCATTCCTGCCTGCCTTCCTCATATGACTGCTGCTTTCCTCTCCATTCTACCCCTGATTGCCTATGCTAAGAAGAGGGCCTAGGGTGGGCTTCTGGTTTTAAAGAGAAGGGAATCTCTGAGAAAGCTTGAAGGATAACTTCAGAGTCCAAGAAGCTTGGCCATCTGCAGGACGAGTCTGTTTGGTTCAGCGGAGGTGGGAATCCCATGTGTGAACAGTTGGCCTTTCTCTGTACTAGCACAGATGACCTGGGGACTAGTTATGACATGGGCCACTGTTGCCCTGTTGCTTTTGGGCAGGAGCAGTAAAGTTGTCTTGGCTAAAATGCTCCCCTGCCTAGTAGCTACTCAAAGCCAGACTCGATTCCTGGCAATAATCCTTTTTGTTGCCTTCATTTGGCCGTCACCCTTGGTCTCTTAGGACAGAGGAGGACTCTGAGAGCCTTGTGAAATTCTCCCCTTTAGAGAGGAGTGGGTAGTATGCTCCTTTACTGCTTCTTTGTGGAATGTTTACTGTTCCCCAGCCGTGTGATATGGGGGTGGGCCTGAAACAGGAAAATTAAGACACTGAGTCCAGGAAGCATTGCTTAGATGCATAGTAGTGAGTCCTCTGTTTTTTGGTTGGCCTTTGCTAGGAAGGGTCAGGGTGTCTTCTTTCTTTTGTTCCCACCGACTCAGAGCCCCCTTCCTTCTAACTCCAGAACAGGGTAAGGGCTGGGGATGGACCCATCTTCTGAGTGGGCAGCGTGGCCTTCTGCCACAGGTGGGACCTGAGTGAGATGGGACTGAAGCATTGGCAGTTGCCTTTGAAGTGTGACTTTGTGTGTGACACACAGTCATGCCCGTGCTGCTGCTGTCAGTGTCTCTAGGGCTTTTTTGGATTATGGAAGACCTTATTTCAGCTCCATCTCTTAGTTCCCATTTCATCAGAACAAACGGAAGAGGCAGAGAAAGAGGATCTTAGGGTCCAGCTGAAGCGCCACCATCCCTCCAGTCCTCTTCCTGGCAGTAAGACCTCCAAGCGACCGAAGATTAAGGTCTCCCTTATCTCCCAAGGGGACCCAGCTGGAGGGCCTTGTCCTCCTTCCCAAGGAGGAGCTCCAGAAGGTGAGTTTTTCTTGGCCTGTTTAAATAAAAAATGAGCTCTCTCAGACCACTTAACATTGCTTTCTTGGTGACTACTTGCTGTACAGCTCAGCCTCTACTTTACTGCAAGGTGTGCCTGGAGCAAGGGGGACACACACGGTAGCACATGGGGCAAAAGTGGGCAGTGACCTGATCTGAACTAGGATCAGGGAAGCAGAACGAGGATCAGAGGGAGCTGTGGGGTCACTCAAAGCATCATTATAGGGCGCCTGGGTGGTTCAGATGGTTAAGCGACTGCCTTTCGGCTCAGGTCATGATCCTGGAGTCCCGGGATCGAGTCCCACATCGGGCTCCCTGCTCAGCAGGGAGTCTGCTTCTCCCTCTGACCCAACCCCCTATCATGCTCTCTCTCTCTCTTTCATTCTCTCTCTCAAATAAATAAATAAAATCTTAAAAAAAAAAATCCCTTTAAAAAAAAAGCATCATTATATTTTGTTCTTTATCAGTTTCAATTAAAGATAAGAAAATATTCCAGGGATGCCTGGCTGGCTCAGTTAGTAGAGTATGATTCTTGATCTTAGGATTGTGAGTGTGAGCCTCACGTTGGATATAAAGACTACTTAAAAATAAAATTAAAAAAAAAGTAAAATATTCCAGAAAGTTTAAAAAATAGAAGAAAAAAATAACTCTCTACTCTACTATACTTACTCTTTGTTTTTCTTCTTCCAGTCTTTGTCCATAATATTTTGCTTTCAGCCTGGGCTGTGAAACCCGGAAAAGTAGGGGCCAGGCAGGACTGACCAGTGGCCTTGGGGTTTTCTGTTTTGCAGCTGCGGGAGGGAAGCCCATCACCATGACACTGGGGCAGGCTTCAGCAGGGGCCAAGGAGCTCACAGGGCTTCTCACCACTACCAAGTGAGTCTATTTCTTGGCCTTTCTGGTTCTGTTCCTTTCTTTCTCTTCACCTTTTCTCTGGTCCATTTAGCACTTTGGAAAGCTGGTAGAGTATTCTGTCGGTTTTGGGAATATGACTTCTTTCTGAGTGGGATCTTTGTCTTTTTTTGGGTCAACTCCAAGTTCTTTTTTACTTAGTTTGCAAAGCATCTCATAGCTCTTGCTTCAAAGTTTGAAGTCTTTCCTTTAGGCCTGACTTTCAGAAGGACTAGAGGCCAGATTCAGAAGATAGGACAAAGAAATTCTAGGTTCTAGTGTCCACTGCTGGAAGCATTGCTGGGCCCCTCTGTGGACCCTCCCTGTGTTGCCAGGGTCTGCTGCCCTCTGACCTTGGATAATAGAGCTCCTGTCTTTGTCTCCAGGTCAAGTGCTTCTGAAGGGGGCGTCTCAGCCAGCCCAGCCTCCTCAGTGTCCAGCAGCACCACACCCAGTGCCTTGCACACACTTCAGAGCCGTCTGGTGGCCACCTCTCCTGGCAGCTCTCTCCCAGGTATCTGGTAGCCCAGCATTCCCTGCCTCCCAGCAAAGTCTCTTTTGGGCTGCTGCTGGAGGGTGGTCCTGGGAAAGCAGCTGAATCTGGAGGGTGCTCCTCTGAGTTGCAGACTTTCATAGAGGCTTGATGTGAAGCTGGAATTAGCTTTGAGGTGGGGGAGTTCTTGGTCTCAATATCTACAGTGAGTAAATATCCCAGTCTGCAGGTGGTATCTCTTGTACTGTAAGGAGGAGAAATAGCTGGTGGGAGATGTGTGTATTGTGTTCATTGTGGTGTTTTTGAACACATCTGATTGCAGAGAACTGGAGATTGTGCTGTACTAGCATTAACAAAAATGAGGCACCTTTCTGCCTCTGCTTGTCTCTTCACTTTCGCCACCCCACCCTGCATGGGAAGGCTGGTTGCCTGAGCCCAGCCAGCAAGGCTCTGCAGGTGTCCTCCTTCCGGAGGACCTCCCTCTTTGCTTTGTGGCTGCTCAGCTGTGTGTAGTGAAATGTAAATCAGGTATTTGGAATTCTTTTGGCTTAAGAAGCTGTCCTTTTCTCTGGAAAGGATGGAATTTAGATTTCTGAAAAGTGGGTGGGGTTCAGCCTCTCTTTGGTTTTCCTAAAACTGTCCAAAAATAAGATAGGTGGTTTGGAGCAGGTTGGGATATGCGGAGCAAATCCAAGGCAGTGTGTCTAGCATAGTACCTTTCCTTGTGTGGGCATGCAGTGTGCGTGCCCAGGGAGCCCTTCCTGGCATCTTCCCGAGAGCACTGGTAATGTCCCAGGGAAAGAGCAATGGTATTTTAGCTGGTTGTTGAGGGTGGATGGGTGTGGCTTCTCTTAGGATAAGGAACTGAGCCTGTGCTGACATCTGTTCTGCTCTCTCCTAGGGGCCACACCAGCCAGCAGCCTCCTTCAAGGCCTCAGCTTCAGCTTGCAGGATATCAGCAGCAAAACCTCTGGCCTCCCAGCAAATCCTTCCCCAGGGCCAGCCCCACAGGTGCACATCTGCCGTCCACGGGGCTGGGCAGCTGTGGGGAGGAGGCCTCAGTTTAGTTGGTTTTGGCAGGGCAACTGGGTCTGGAGTCTGGGTCAAGACAGACAGCTTTCTGACGTCATGCCTGGGAGCTACCAAAGGTTAAGGCTCCATGACTTCCTGTGTGACCTTGGACAAATTTGTTGACCTCTCTCTGTTTCCTTGTCTGTAGAATTAGGATAATGATAGTGTTTCTCTCAAAGGGTTGTATTGAGTATTAAATAAGATAGTGTATGGAAAATGCATGGAAGTGTACCTTGCATGTAGTAGGTATGCAATACATGGTAGCCTTTAATGCTCTGGGCCCTCCACACTTGAACATTGCTTGCTTTTGGGCAATAGCTTCTGATCACCTGAGCTTGTGTGTCCTACAGGCCACCGGTGTGAAGTTGCCCACCCCCATGCAGAGCCTGGGTGCCATCACCACGGGCACCAGCACCATTGTCCGTACCATTCCTGTGGCCACCACTCTCTCCTCCTTGGGTGCCACTCCTGGTGGGAAGCCCACAGCCATCCACCAGCTGCTGACCAATGGGGGCCTCGCTAAGTTGGCAAGCAGCCTCCCTGGCCTGGCTCAGATCTCTAACCAAGCATCAGGTGAGTCTCTCATGACAGCTGTGGGGACTCTTGGGATATGGGGTCTTTCCCTAGGACCTTCCCATCTCACATGGGCAAGGCTTGTTGTTGAACCCAACTCAACAGGGTCCTGGTATTGACCCTCAAGGATTCAGCTGTGTGGGTCCATCCCCCAGAGAGGTCGGAAGAACACAGCTGATAGGGTGGAGCTGACCCAGCTGGGGAGGATACTGAAGTGGGCGGCCAAGGGGGTGGTCTGTGATGTGAAGAAACTCTCCGGGAGGAGAAGGTAGAGACTGTGACAAACAACCCTTCTTTCCCCCTCTCTCTGTCAGGCTTGAAGGTCCCTACTACCATTACTCTGACACTGCGTGGCCAACCAAGCCGAATCACTACGCTGAGCCCCATGGGCTCGGGAGCAGCCCCGTCAGAGGAGTCCAGCTCCCAGGCTCTGCCGTCCAGCTCACAGGTGAATCTGCCTAGGAAGACTGGGGACATAGGCTCTGATATTGGGAAGTTTGGGGCTGGCCCACTGGCTGAATGCAGGAGCCGCCAGTGCCCTGGACTTCAGGCAGACCACATTCAAATCCAGACCTGGGGCTTTGTAGCTTTGTAACTTTGAGCAAGTCATGGATCTCTTTGAGTCTCCTCTTCTGTAGCACTCCCTGGGTTGTCAGGAGGATTAAATACATAACTGTTTTTGGGTGTGTAGCATCGTCAGTGTTTTAAGTTTTGTTGCCGTTCCCTCTCTATTCATTTTCTCTTCCCCTTCTTGGCTTCATCAGTCACAGGTTGTGGTAGAGGCTAGCAAGTTCATTAACACCCTTTCTTTGACCAGCTTTCCAGCATCGTGCCATTCTGGCTCTTGGCATTCACTGTCTTCTTTTTAGGACACACTAGGTTTCTATAGCTCTTACCCACGAAGCCACCACCAGTTCCTTGTAGTCGATCTGATTTCCATTGTGAGCTCTTCACATAAAACGTTTCTAATCTTAAATGGTGATCTGAGAGCCACTCAGAGATCAGAGGTGAAAGAAAAAAATAGTTGGGAGTCCAGTGTGGCATGTGCTTTCCTTCACTGTGCACTGTTGCAGCCACGGCCTTCCTCGTGGGGACTGCCGTGACTGAAGGCCTGGCCCTGTTCCCGTCACTCCCACCACCCCAGTCCTGCGTGGGAACTGGAGGGCGGGCTCCCAGCTGTTCCAGACCATTTTCTGCCTCCTCCTCTTTAGAGGAAAATACTGTAGAGATTGTTACCTGGCATTCATTGGGATCATAGTTAGCCCTCCCTGCCTTTTTTTCAGAAAAGTGGAGGTGTTTTTATGTCTCTTTTTTTTTCCTTATTTTTTTCAATTAGAAAAGTGATTGTGCCTAAATAATTCAAACATTACAGAAATACTGTCATTTAGAAAGTGAGTTTCCCGTGGTACCACTCCCAGAGATGATATCCACTATTAATAGCTCAATATGCATTCTTTTTAAATTTTTTATTGTTATGTTAATCACCATATATTACATCATTTGTTTTTGATGTAGGGTTCCGTGATTCATTGTTTGTTCATAACACCCAGTGCTCCGTGCAGAATGTGCCCTCTTTAATACCCATCACCAGGCTAACCCATCCCCCTACCCTCCTCCCCTCTAGAACCCTCAGTTTGTTTTTCAGAGTCCATCATCTCTCATGGTTCATCTCCCCCTCTGACTTACTCCCCTTCATTCTTCCTCTCCTGCTATCTTCTTCTTTTTCTTTTTTCTTAAAATATGTTGCGTTATTTGTTTCAGAAGTACAAATCTGTGATTCAACAGTCTTGCACAATTCACAGCGCTCACCGTAGCACATACCCTCCCCAATGTCTATCACCCAGCCACCCCATCCCTCCCACCCCCAACCACTCCAGTAACACTCAGTTTGTTCCTGAGATTAAGAATTCCTCATATCAGTGAGGTCATATGATACATGTCTTTCTCTGATTGACTTATTTCACTCAGCATAACACCCTCCAGTTCCATCCACGTCGTTGCAAATGGCAAGATCTCATTCCTTTTGATGGCTGCATAATATTCCATTTTGTATATATACCACATCTTCTTTACCCATTCATCTGTCGATGGACATCTTGGCTCTTTCCACAGTTTGGCTGTTGTGGACATTGCTGCTATAAACACTGGGGTGCACGTACCCCTTCGGGTCCCTACATTTGTATCTTTGGGGTAAATACCCAGTAGTGCAATTGCTGGATTGAATGGTAGCTCTACTTTCAACTTTTTGAGGAACCTCCGTACTGTTTTCCAGAGTGGTTGCACCAGCTTGCATTCCCACCAACAGTGTAGGAGGGTTCCCCTTTCTCCACATCCCCGCCAACATCTGTCGTTCCCTGACTTGTTAATTTTAGCCATTCTGACGGGTGTGAGGTGGTATCTCATTGAGGTTTTGATTTGGATTTCCCTGATGCCGAGCGACGTTGAGCACTTTTTCATGTGCCTGTTGGCCATTTGGATGTCTTCTTTGGAGAAATGTCTGTTCATGTCTTCTGCCCATTTCTTGATTGGATTATTTGTTCTTTGGGTGTTGAGTTTGATAAGTTCTTTATAGATTTTGGGTGCTAGCCCTTTATCTGATATGTCATTTGCAAATATTTTCTCCCATTCTGTCGGTTGTCTTTTGGTTTTGTGGACTGTTTCTTTTGCTGTGCAAAAGCTTTTTATCTTGATGAAATCCCAATAGTTCATTTTTGCCCTGGCTTCCCGTGCCTTTGGTGATGTTTCTAGGGAGAAGTTGCTGCGGCTGAGGTCGAAGAGGTTGCTACCTGTGTTCTCCTTTAGGATTTTGATGGACTCCTGTCTCACGTTTAGGTCTTTCAACCATTTGGAGTCTATTTTTGTGTGTGGTGTAAGGAAATGGTCCAGTTTCATTCTTCTGCATGTGGCTGTCCAGTTTTCCCAACACCATTTGTTGAAGAGACTGTCTTTTTTCCACTGGACATTCTTTCCTGCTTTGTCAAAGATAAGTTGACCATAGAGTTGAGGGTCCATTTCTGGGCTCTCGATTCTGTTCCATTGATCTATGTGTCTGTTTTTGTGCCAGTACCATGCTGTCTTGATGATGACAGCTTTGTAATAGAGCTGGAAGTCCGGAATTGTGATGCCGCCAGCTTTGCTTTTCTTTTTCAATATTCCTCTGGCTATTCGGGGTCTCTTCTGGTTCCGTACAAATTTTAGGATTATTTGTTCCATTTCTTTGAAAAAAGTGGATGGTATTTTGATGGGGATTGCATTGAATGTGTAGATTGCTCTAGGTAGCATCGACATCTTCACAATGTTGGTTCTCCCAATCCATGAGCATGGAACGTTTTTCCATTTCTTTGTGTCTTCTTCAGTTTCTTTCCTGAGTATTTTATAGTTTTCTGAGTACAGATCCTTTGCCTCTTTGGTTAAATTTATTCCTAGGTATCTTATGGTTTTGGGTGCAATTGTAAATGGGATCGAATCCTTGATTTGTCTCTCTTCTGTCTTGTTGTTGGTGTATAGGAATGCCACTGATTTCTGTGCATGGATTTTATAGCCTGCTACTTGACTGAATTCCTGTATGAGTTCTAGCAGTTTTGGGGTGGAGTCTTTTGGGTTTTCCACATACAGTATCATATCATCTGCAAAGAGTGAGAGTTTGACTTCCTCTTTGCCGATTTGGATGCCTTTGATTTCTTCTTGTCTGATTGCTATGGCTAGGACTTCTAATACTATGTTGAATAGCAGTGGTGAGTCAGTATGCATTCTAATAGATCTTTCTTGCTATACAAAGTACATTACTTTTTTACCTTTTTTTTTTTTTTGGCAAAAGTGTAATCAAAGAATGTGGACTTTTTGTAACTAGCCTTTGTTTACAACAGATGTTGTGACATGTTTCCCGTGGGTTACATAGAGACTTATCTCCTTGTCAGTAGCTGCCTCGTGTTTTGCTGGGTGGATGCACGAAAGTGTATTTCACCATCTTCTGTTAGAGAGTTGGGCTGTTTTGTTTTTGATACAGAAAATAGTGTTTCAGTGAACACCCTTGTTCCTGAGTTTTGTGTGCCTCTGGGGGATTTCAACAGTCCAGAGACCAGTAAGTGGTGGGTACGTGTGTCTGACATCTGGCTAACTGCTGGCTAATTGCCCTTCAGAGGCTCTGCCAGTTTACAGTTCAAGCCATAGCAATGATAATACCTGTTTTCCCATGTCTTCGTCAGCTATGGAAATCAGTGTTTTAAATTTTATTAATTTGATGAGTGAAAAATGAAATTGTTTATTTTTTTTTTTAAGATTGTATTTACTTTTCAGAGAGAGCAAGCACAAGCAGGGGGAGCGGCAGGCAGAGGGAGAGAAGCAGGCTCCCCGCTGATCGGGGAGCCCAACAACACAGGGCTCAATCCCAGGACCCTGAGATCATGACCTGTGCCAAAGGCAGACGCTGACTGAGCCACCCAGGCGTCTCAGTGGAATTGTGTAAATGTGTATTTTCTTGATTACTTATGAGATTGTATGTCTTTTATGAATGGTTCATCATATTCTGTCTACTTCGATTTATAGCAGCTTTATACATTCAGATGTTAATCTTTTATTATACAAGTTGTGTATCTTTTACTCCAGTCAACTGCTTATCTTTTTATTTTTCTTCTTTCTATTGAAGTATTAAGGACATTTGTTTCATACATTAAAAATTTATATATAACAAAATCTTCAAATCTTTCCCTTCATAGCTCCAAGGTTCATATTCTCGATGGCTGCACAGACTTGGGCCTTTTTTGTCTCCATGACCCATCTGTTTTCATACTAGTTTTATATAATTGTTTGATAATGTAAGTCCTCCAGTTAAGCGAGTGTCAGGTATGTTTCTAGTTTGCTATGATCATTGTTAACTCTTTTCATTTTTCTTGATAAATAAGGTGTTGAATTTTGTTCATTGCTCTTTTGGAATCAGATGAGTGAGCATAAACATTTCTTCTGAATTAGTTAAATGATGAATTACTTCAATTTCCTAATGTCAGATCATCTAAATTCCAGATTCTGTAGCTTGTTCAATATGTCCTATTCTCTCTTTTTTTCATATGCCCCAGTTTGTTTGAATTTTGCACCCATAGGAAAGACCCTATCAAAAGAGAACAAAACAAAAAAGAAAGAAGCCAAGTGTTTCTTGATTTGCTTTTATTTTACTTAGGTTCTTGGCCTCTATCAGTGAGATTGGCATATAGTTTTCTTCCCATCCACCCCTGCTTTTGTGTGTGTGCTTTCTTTGTCCAATTGTATAAAGACATTAATTGTATCTTTATAGAATGAGTTGGAAGCATTTTTTCCCTCATATTCTAAAACATACATCGCATATTCTAAAACATACAGCACAGAAATTATGAGTTCCTTGATAGTTCGATGCAAATTATCTATAAAGCCATTTGGGCCTGTTTTCAGGCAGTCTTAACCTTTGCTGATACTATATTGATGCCAACTAGAACGCATATCCCTACCATGTGATGATACCTTCCCCCTCTATTAGGGGTCTTTTTCAGCTTGCTGCAGCCTGGGGGAACTAGTTCACATTGAGAAAAGGCTAGATAGAGCTCATTGAGAATTGTTTTACATGGCTAAATTGAAGCACAAAATGAAGATCAAGATCTGACTTCTGACCTGATGGTATTAACTTAAGAGCTTATTTTTTATCTCAGTAAAATGAGTGTATAATTACTAGGAGGGTTCTAGTGGTGATTCTCTTATTACAGAGAAAGGATGCATTACTAGATTAAGATTTGCTGACTTGAAAGCTTCTAATGGTTACCTCAGTGTTCACACTGCCAGACAGTGTGATATCAGTGGGCTATGGGTCTGGCCCTCTGTCTTCAGCCAGCTGTGTGATCCTGGGAAAAATCACCTAACCTCTCTTGGTTTTGGTTTTCTTTTTTCTTTTTTTTTAAGATTTTATTTATTTATTTGACAGCGACATGGTGAGAGAGGGAACACAAGTAGAGGGAATGGGAGAGGGAGAAACAGGCTTCCTGTGGGGCAGGGAGCCCGATGTGGGGCTCTGTCCCAGGACCCTGGGACCATGACCTGAGCCGAAGGCAGACACTTAACTGACTTGAGCCACCCAGGTGCCCCGGTTTTGGTTTTCTTACCTGGTCTGGTGAGGAGGTTGGCCTAAGTTAGTGATTATTGTGTAGGATTGATTAGGGGCTGTCTCAGAATCTCCTCAAGACTTTGGGAAGCTGAACTTTTATTTTTATTTTTATTAAGATTTTATTTTTAAGTAATCTCTACACCCAATGTGGGGCTCGAATTCACAATCCCGAGATCGAAAGTTGCATGCTCTACCAACTGAGCCAGCCAGTCACTTTGGGAAGTTGAATTTTTAAATGTTGAGAAACAGACCACCCATTTATGATGTTTATGAGACAGTTGGAAATACAAACACTGGGTAATTGCCGTATTAAGGAATTGTTAACTTTTTTATCTGTGATAATGGTGTTTACATTGGAAAAAATAATCCTTTTTTAGTTTTGGGTTACATACTCATGATATTTATGGATAGAATGAAAAAGAAAAAGATTGTAAACACTGGCTAGACTTCTCTAAGGTCTGCCCAAGTACTTAATTATCTGTTCTGTTTCTGGCACTGATGAATATTTACTGTGTGTTTCTTTTACGGAACTGGACTCATATGTACTCTTTACAGCTGAAAAGCTGTCAGAGGAAGAGGAGAGACAGAGACTGTGTTGTGCCCTGCACCAATGGACTCGTTGCCTGTGGTCACATACTCATTGCCTCCTCTCTGACACACACTGTGGTCTGCCCAGTCGTCTGCCCAGCCAGGGGGCATCCCTGCAACCCTCGCAGGGGCCCCTGGGAGAGCAGACTCACTCACTCAGTTGTATTCCTAATCAGGACAGAGTAATCCTCTTTACACAGCCTTGCCTTTGGGCAGGGTGAGCAAAGGTAGGCAGATCCTTTTAAGTTTTGATTGTCAAACCCTTCTTCATACGCGCTCTCCTGTGCCTTCTGCCTTCCCCCATTTTCTGCATTCTCAGAGACCTCTTAGGAGTTTTCCAAAGGTGAAATCTAGAAAAGTAGGGAAACCCCTGGTGAAAAAAGGCCAACTCTTTCTGCCTTGCTTTTTTCTTCCTAAGCTGCAAGGCTCAACAGTTGGTGGCATCCATCCTCCATTACTCGAAATGAGTAAGACCTAAAAACCTGTATTGTCAGAATAGTCATGGAAAACTTCAACTCTGTCACCCTTAGCAATTTAGGCTTTCCTTTTCCCTGCATTCTCTTCCTGCTCTTATGCATAATAATAAGAGCTAACGTTTGTAGTTGGACTCCTTGTACTCGAGGTATTTAATGCAGATTGTCTCGTTTCATCTCACAACATCTCTGGAGAGTAGGGGCTGTCAGTGTGTTTTACAGATGGGGAAAAGGAGGCTCAGAGAGCATTCATCACTTGCCCTATAAAGTGGTAGAGGTGGGTCTCTGACTGCAGAGTCCACATTCTCATAACCATTTGCTGCTAGAACACATGCCCTTGTACATCCAGCTTTTTCCCCTATCGAGAATTACTTCTTTGGAATAAATTCTCAGGAGTTGGGGTGATGGGGTCAGAGGGTTGGGTATGTTAACCTGGCAAATTTTTAACTCTTGCTCACTCCCTGTCCTGCCATAGCGCCTGCCTCCAGCACCCTGAAGATGCCAAGTGCTATATCTTCTTTACCGGGTTGGTGATGGCTGCCGTGCGGTGAGCCCTGGGCACACGTGCTATCCTGCTGAGCTGTCCACTTGTCTGAAGACCTCTTAAGATTGCCATTTTTGCCTCCCTGCCAGCTGTTTTCAGAATGGGCCTCTGGGTCTCATGAAACCATTAGATTAGGTGATATGGTGCACCAGCAAGGGGAACGTTGTCCTGTGGCATCTATGGGTCTGGTTCCTGGCATCCCCATGTTCCTCAGCAGATCTGGCTGTACATGGATCAGAGGCATTTCTTCTCCAGCATTAACTGTGACTGACCCAAGTAGCTGTGTTGGACTGCTCACTGCATTTAATAAAGGAGTTCCTTTTGGAAGTCTGTGCTGCCCCCATGCCAAGTTGGGAGGAGACGTCCATACGGTCTGGGGCTTATTAGGGAGTTAGGATTGAGAGCCCTTTGCTGAGGCCCCGGGATCATCCCGGCCCATCGACAGTTGTGCAGTGCCAGAGGGCTGGTTTTGGACATCACTGTTGCTTTCACTGAGCAGCCATGGGAGAACGTGTCCCATGCAACTCCTCCCTCTTAAGAACCATATTAGACAATGAGTAGCCTGCTGAGACCTGGGAACTCTTTAAGTCCAAACCCATGATAGGGTAAAGAGGACTGGGCTGTCATCTTTCATTCCCTTTGGCCACTGTAGATGGCGGGAAGCAGCTGTTGCCAGGAGGTGAAATCTGGCCCCTTTCCTTTTTTCATCCTGCTTCGGGCAGTTCCTGTATCCAGAAAATCCAGAAAGGCCAAAGAAGAGGAATGGAACAAATGAAGTGGTTTGAAGGATGTTCTAGTAAGTCCTGTGGAGAAAATGATTGGGGCATGAAGCTTTGCACCTATTACCTAAGGAACTGTTGATTCGACATGTAGATGAGAAGAATTTGCCAAGTCACAGGGGAGAAAGCCCAACCCCTGAAATGTCCATCTCCAGTGTGTGGAGGTGAAACAGGGATAACCAGCTAAGTTAAGATCTTGGTGACCCAGGAAGCTTAGGCATCAACATCATGAAGGCCATGCTTTAGTGTTTCTATTTCCACTCCATGCAACTTCTTGTCTTCTTGCTTAGAATTGGGAAAGTTATTGGTATTGACTCTTACTCTGCGGGGCTCTTGGTACCAGCCTGAGCTCTGGAGAAGTGATCACTGGAGATGGAGCTCTGAGCCCGCCCTTATGTCTTCACAATACTTGTGTGCCAAGGTAGTTTTAGATTTGACGTCATACCTGCCCTCCAGATCACGTCCCTGCCCTTCCATACTCTAGAATGTTTCCTGCCAAGGTGACAATAAATAGAGCAACCCAGAGGTGATGCTCACTGTTCAGTATCTGTAGGCAGGAGGGTGCACAGTGTGCTGTGGCCATGGTCCAGGATCTTGACCCATGCAGCATATATCCAAACCAGGCTACCTGTCTTTAGTCCAGGAGCCTCGCTTGCCAGTCTGACTGGCAGCCAGGAGGGAGTACCTAGTGTGTAGGAGTCTGAAACAAGGCAGAAAGGGGTGCTGTGGGCAGAGAGGGGGACATGTGTGATAGGTAAGAGAGAGTATCTTGAACGCCAGGCCCTCCCTCCCTGACTTCCTGCAGAGCTGGTCTCAGCAGTGATTTGCACAAAATTAGGCTTCGTTCTTGAAATAGCTTGTAGGTAACTGCTTTTGGAATTCATTTAGTGAGTTTGAGGAAGATATAAAATCTGAAAGAGGCATCCATAGGTCAGGGGTTTGGTAACTTTACAGGTAGGATTATACACCAATAGACCCCAGGACAGTAAGACTGTGTGAGACTATATGAAGCTTTTAGGAATCATTGAGGACAGGCAGGGGGTCCTGAACAACCCACTCATGACTTAGGAGTACAGCTTAGACAGTGCTGGAGTGGTTGCTCCTGAAAGATGCTGGCCCAGTGTATGCTGGGGCCAAGGGAAAAACTAATGGATTGTCCTGTGTTTGTGCAAACCCTAGTATGCTTCCCATGGATAATTTCCTGAGGCTTGGGTTGTACACCTTGAAGAAAGCCAAACCTGAAAAGGGGAGTTGTGAGAACACGGACTCTTTCTCACCTTGGAGGGACAGACTAAAGGGGGAAGTGGTTGAAGTCCAGAGTCATGTTCTTCAACTCCACACTTCTGCACCCACTCTTCTCGAAATGCAAAAGGAAGCTTTCCTCTACCTATCACGTATCAGACTAGAGTCCATAACCTCAGAAGGCAATACTACCGGCTGAGAATGTAGAAGGATCAGGAAGGCTTTAGCTAAATTCTTGACATTCAACATGACAGGTGCATGTTGATGCCCTATGGAAGATGTCCTTGTGCTTTAAGAGGTCACTGAGAGAGGAAGATCTGCTTGTTCTTGGCCCCACAACCAGAACAGTCTTGGGCTGGGTGGGTTATAAAGCTGAGCCACTGTCACGGTTCTGTTCTTACATTAGCTGTAAAAACAAACAAAATAAAAGCAACTTTGGATTTCTTCAGCTTGTTTTAAACTGACTTCTCTCGTTTATTCTGATAGCCACTCGGTGAAGTGGCACAGGAAATAAAAGCTAAGATACTGTGGTAATGCCGGTGATCATCTTGCTGGTGCCTGGTGCCATGAGGTGGGTACTGAAATTCCCTCTTTACAGGCGAGGAAACGGAGGCACTGAGAAGTCAAACAGGGAAGCGGCAGAGGTAGGACTAGAACCAGGCAGTCTGCTGCCACTGTCCGTTCTCTGCATTGTGCTGGGGCTCTGAGATGGGACACGGGAGTGAGCGTTACCCAGGAGGTGAGCTGAAAGCCTTCGCGAGACCCTTGCGCGTTCAGTTCCCAGCAAGCCTGAGGTGATTGCTGCAGCCCTGGTGGGGTCGTGGCTGGGCCTGTGTCAGTAGGCGGGGTCCCTTGCCCTTGGTCCTGAGAGGCTGAAATCCCTTGCACATCCTGTACTTTTTCGACCTGCTCCAATAAATAAAGACTTAGAGATGAATGAATTCCCATGTCCAGATTATTTGTGAACTTGTATCCACGAGGACCTCCTTCCTGTCCATGAATTCCAGGTCCCTCCATTTAGCATTGGGGCCCTCTGTGGGTGGAGGCC